TCACTCACAATTCTAAGACTTCAATCTAAAAGAGCGCAGCGGAAAAGGGATCACGCGGCCGAGAATAATGTAAAACGGTTGGCAAGGATCGGCATTTGTTTCAGGAGACCCATGTCTCTCACCGTAGCCAAGACAGAGGGTTCTAAGCGCGCTGGGTTCGAATCAAATTGCACGAGATAAATACAGTATCCTGGTTTTGGCATGCCTGAAACCTGAGTCTGGACTCAATTCGACTCACTTTAGGTCCTCAAATCTTCTGTATGAGATTTTCTTTGGTAAAGTATACCCTTTCGTACAGGGAGAGATAGATAAGGGTAGAATTCCAAGTCGAATAGTCAGCTTTCATGTTTGAATAACTTGCGTCATAGTTAGTCCCACCCAGACCGCGGGGCTTAGATAGCTGGCAGACAAGATGCCTCGATTGTTATCATGAGGTTGATCGCGTTGCATGTGAAGTCTTGGCGTGCCGGCCTTGCTGGGCCTACGTTACAGGTCCCCTCGCGATCTACACTAATGTGATGTTCCTAGCTGTCTTCCACACGACTCCAGAAAATCCCAATCCCAGACTGGATGGGGCTTGGATGACTTTGCTAGGTTTCATAACGTTCCAAACAGGCCAAGTCCAGGTGACTGTATGAGTTATATATCTTTGCCTGCAATATAGAAGTCTGTTGTTCACCATCTCTATCTTCCAAGGTCTAAGTGTAACATCTATACCCAAGATGTATATTTATTGAATTTGTAAGGCTATATTGTCTGCGCGTCGTTGACGTCGTGGCCCGTCTCGTGTTGGCGGATGTTACCAGGCAATTCTGACCCATCTAGGACCCCAAGGCAACGGAGGAAATTCGCCGCCTCCAGCTGCGGTGACATTTCGAACGTCCTAGGACTTCTGTTCAGAGGAATAAAGGAGAAATCAATAGACCAAGAAGGTAGATACCAACATTTTATACCTTCGTAGAATCCCACAAAGCGTCAACGGTAAGCATTAGGGTCTCACCAGTAGCTTGCGAGGTAATATCGACCTGGTAGCCTCCAAAGTCTTTGGGGATTGTGTACGGCTTTCCAGGCGCGTCGACAGGCTGAACATCCTCCGCCTCCCGGGAAATTCAGCGGCAGCCCATTCTCATTCTCGGAGCCAAATTTGGTAGTATGGCGATGTACCGATGGATGAAATTCGAAATGAACATTAGCCGCAACAGTGCCCCCGGGCAATGAGAGATAAACGCAATCACCCAACTCAGCAATTTCGGCCTCCAAAATTTCGCTTTCGGTAGCTTCATACTCAAAAGGCAATGGGCGGGAACCCTGGACTTAGAAGTCTCTCTGATAGAATTTGGAGAAGAACTGAGCTATTTGCTCGTCACCGTCAACGTTTGGGAAGACATTGCCAAGCCGAATGGCCTGCTGAAACCTGGTGATGCGGCCCTGCTGCATGGATCTACAGAACATGCGAACAATAGATGGGCTGTCGACAAATACGGCGGCGTTAATGTTTGAATTGACGCTGCTATTCACGAAGGCAACGCCTCCTTTAATCGCCATGACGGTCAGAGTGTTGGAATGGCGCAGAAAGTCACCCACAGCATAAAGCACCGCGGTGAAGGATAGCAGCAGCAGTCAGTACTTCTTTCCAGATTTGGAAAGAGGTATAACGAGCTACGAGCCGATAGCCTTGCCATATTCACGTTCTGGTATAAACCTATTGCAACATTCGAACTCAAACCTACACTGGATAAATCAATTCAAGTATAAAAATATGCTACATCCCCCATTGGCAGCGAAACAAAAGTTCTGCAGTCTCGCAGAGTATATACTCTTTTGTACGTCGATAATTTGTGGCCGCACTTTCACTTATAGAAATCAAAGTGTCCGGACGGGGCTTCAAACTTATGGAACCCGCCAAGTGTTTCGCGATGATATTCCACGAACGGACCCTGCGTAATGGTTTCATGGCCGCGAAACGCCAAAAATACGCGGCAAAGATGTCGGCAACGAGGCATTTCTAGTAAAATTAGCCTGAAAAACCTCGGCTGAATTAATTCGGCACTGGTGCTCTTCATATTTGCCGGTCTCAATCACCTGAAGGGGCGGGGAACCCCTGCTAAGCATTGAAACTGCGGGGCCCCGTGAAGTTTATGGACGCTAGTATGGTCACCAATGTATTCGACTATCCTTAATTTGTTTTTGACGCTGCCAATATAGTTTTGTTCCCAATAAGCACAGTCTATAAGAGGCCTATGAAGACCTTACGATGAGGATTTTCTTAAGTCAATTTACTACGTGGCACAACTTGAGATCAGCTATCTCTTGATCGACATGCGTTTCTCGCTGCTTCTCGCGGGGTATGCCACCGTGGTGAGCGCTTATGCCCGTGGAAGTGTGGACAGAAGAAGTTCTTTCAAGGCAAAGTGCGAGTCTTTCGCACACAATATCAAAGTACAAAATGCCGCTATTCATAATGTGACCCACGTGCCGATTGGGACGAACATCTCCATGTCAAATGTTCCTGCCGCTTGTGCCTCGAACGCAGATAGCACAAGCAGCACATTCGAATTCTGCCGGGTTGCGCTCAATGTGACGACTTCGTCAAAGAGTCAGATCTTCATGGAGGCATGGCTACCTAGCAATTACTCTGGTCGATTCTTGAGTACCGGAAATGGAGGTCTCGGTGGCTGTATGTTTCTACCTATTTACTTTTGAAAGCGTTGGACTTTGAGTCTAACTGTCTAGGCATCCAATACTCCGACATGGTGTACGCCGCAAATTATGGATTTGCCACTGTCGGTACCAACAATGGTCACTTTGGCGATACTGGTGTCTACTTCTACCACAATTCTGAGGTGCTCGAGGACTACGCTTACCGAGCTATCCACACTGGTGTCGTTGTTGGCAAAGAACTTACCAAGCAATTTTATACCAAGGGTTTCGACAAGTCCTACTATATGGGCTGCTCGACTGGCGGTCGCGAGGGCTGGAAGTCTATTCAGAAGTTTCCCAACGACTTTGATGGCGTGGTCGCTGGAGCCCCTGCATTCAACTTGATCAATCTCATCAACTGGGGTGCTCGATTCTTCCCGACGACTGGAAATTCGAGCGCAGCCACATTCGTGACGGATGCTCAGTGGATCACCATCCATGACGAGATTCTCCGACAATGTGATGATCTCGATGGTGCCGCAGATGGGATCATCGAGGATCCCGATCTTTGTCAACCCATCTTTGAGACACTGCTGTGCAATTCGACTGCAAGTGCTGGTTCAAGCTCGTGTCTTACGGGAACGCAATTAAAGACTGTCAATACCATCTTCAGCCCTCTTTATGGAAATAATGACACACTCTTGTACCCTCGCATGCAGCCTGGATCCGAGCTGACCGCGGCCTATGTTTACTATAACGGCCAGCCATTCTCCTACGCAGAGGATTGGTTCCGCTACGTGGTTTACAGCAACCCCAGCTGGGACCCTGCATCTTGGAGTGTAAACGATGCTGTGATCTCGAATGCTCAAGATCCGTACCAGGTCTCGACTTTTCAAGGCGACATCTCTGATTTCCAGAAGAAGGGCAAGGTCCTCCACTACCACGGAATGGAGGACCCAATCATCTCGTCTGACAGTTCGAAGATGTACTACAAGCATGTTGCTGACACCATGAATCTCAGCCCATCGGAGTTGGATGAATTCTATCGTTTCTTTACAATCAGCGGAATGGGTCACTGTTCGACCGGTGATGGTGCCGGGTCTATTGGTCAAGGTGTAGGGACCTTTGCCGGGAATGACCCGGAGGACAATGTTCTCCTTGCAATGGTGCGATGGGTGGAAAAGGGCATCGCTCCAGACTTTGTGCGTGGTACCAAGTTTAACGGCACCGAGGTAGAATACCGTCGCAAGCATTGCAAGTATCCTAAGCGCAACAAGTATGTTGGCCCTGGTACTTACAGGGATGAGAATGCTTGGAAATGTGTTTGATCTTGTATCTATCAATGGTCAGGGTAGATCTGAGATGGATAGACTTGAAACATGTTCTCCCACTTATCAACAAGTGCCACTAAAGAGCAAGTGGCGTCTTCATAGCGCCTTTCACACCGCTTGGTCTTAATACCTTAGCAGTCGTCCCACCGCTGCTGGCTGCGACTGCGGCCTACATTTTAGGCATAGTTACTACCGTGGTAATTTCGATCTGCTCTCGTAATTCTCTCACTTCCTTATGAAGCTTCTCGTTCTGTTCCTGAAGTACGTTCTGGTTGTGTTTGATCTCGTGGAGTTCGTTCTGGGTGGCTGTGATGGCTGCTGTCTGATGTCGGATGACGTTTTTCAGCGTACAGATCAGTTTCCACACCTCCTTGGTGGTGACTCGACCGGTGGGATCCCACGCATCTCTCTTTCGGGTTCCTCTTCTGGTTTCCAACGGTGGTACCGGCTTCGAGATCGTCGTCCGTCGGTGGTTTCTTGCCTGTTTGTGGGAAGGGGTTCGGGCCCTCCCGGAGGTGGGTCCGCTATCGGTCCACGGTACACACCACAACAATTTTATATCAGTAGCTTATCAACCTCCACGTCCTCGTCGGCGTTCTTTTAATCTTATCAAGTTATACAGTCATTCTCTAAATCGGCTTGGTCAGTACGCTACTTCACTATCTTGTTTGGCCCCACTGCCAAGGCTTTAGCGCTTATCATATATTTGACTGGACCCATTAACTTTGAGGTCCCCCGCGCGTTAAACATTGCTGTACGAGCTGGGGCAGATCACGTCGGGCCGCAACTTAATGTTTGTAGGCCCAATAGATGATCCGCGCTAAAGGCTTGGCCGTGGGTCCAAGCAAGATAGTGAAAGAGTGTACTGGTTATTGAGGGCTGGTTGAGCTTGGCTATATTTATGGCTGTTGTACAATTGTATTATTTTGTTAAAAGGTTATGATCGATATTGACAATATAGCGTTCCATCTTTTCTGAAAATTCAAGTCTATTGACGTCAGAAGCCCGACTGAGGTTGTCTTCTAATGTCTAGGACTCCTTCATAGCATTGTCCGCTTCAGAAGGACGGTCCACCATGACATGGTCAGACTGCAGCTCTCGATCAAGTGTAGCATGTTGAATAAGCAGTGATAAAACAAGTGCAACGATAGCCACGGCCATAAAGAACAGCCACAAATCCCGGAACGAATGTGTAAAAGCGATAATATAGCTCTCCCTCTTCGCAGGATCCCAGCCCGATTGCCGAAGCTTGAGAGCGAACTCTGGTGCCGCATGTGCCACGCTTCCAGGCAGATGTCGCTCAACCAGATGGGTCCGCAGCCTATTCTGGAAAAACGTGCCGGCTACTGCCACTCCGATGGACATACCTAGCGACCGGAAGAATGTGTACATCCCTGCGGCCTTGCCGTCATGGGTCTCTGTGGCGTGGGCCTGGACGGCGAAATTTAACGATGTCAACACGAAACCATTGCCGATACCTAAAGTGACGAATATGAATGCCCAGTGGTGGGCTGGCATGTATTGGTCAATTAGGGCCATCAGACCGATCGCCAAGGCTACCAGAGCCCAGCCGGACCAGATTGCCCATCGATAGTAACCTAATCGAGTGAACAGCACCCCTGAGATGGCACTACTTGGGAGTAACATGCCCAAAATAATCATCAATGCCAATCCACTCTGAATCGCACCCATGCCTTTAGTTATCTGCATAAATAACGGGATGAAATAAAGACAGCCAAGCATCTGTTTAAGTTAGCGATGAAATAAACACAAATGGCAAGCCACTTACTAATGCTCCTTGCAGACATGCACAAATATACGCGATGACTGACGAGAGACTGTTAAATAAAGTCATGGGTATGAAAGGCCGTTTTGCGCCAAAGGTTTCCCAAAGACATGAGCCGATCAGACCCAGAAAGCCGACAATGATTGGGACAAAAGTCCTCCAACTAGGCCATGGATACTGGTTTCCTCCCGAGGTGATACCAACTAGGAAGGCACAGAGACTGGAGATAAACAGAAAACCCCCAATCCAGTCAACCAAAGCCAGACGCTCTGAAATACTCGGTCGTTCCGCAGTGAGCCGCACTGTCAAAGGAACCAACAAGAGGCCAATGGCACAGAATGGAAGATTGATGTAGAAAATCCATCGCCATGTAATGTTCTCCGCAATAACTCCACCAATTAAAGGTCCAGTGAGAGTGCCTAGGGCCCAGGCCATCTGGATAATGGCATAGTATGTGGGCCGCTGTCGTAAGGGAACAATATCAGTCGTGATGACCAGACATCCCGCCATTATACCCCCACCTCCTACCCCTTGTAGAGAGCGCCCGGTGAGGAGAAGGCCAAAGGATTGAGATACAGAGCAGAGGATGGTTCCGAGTGTAAAAAGCGCCACCACCAGGGTCAGGATCAACCTGCGGCCGAAGATATCTGACAGGTCAACAATGAAAGGTTGGCAGACCGCACTCGCGAGGAGATATGAGGTACCAGCCCAAAAGGCTTGGACCGTGTTACCACCCAAGGAAGTTTCCAGGATCTGGTTCAGTGCCCAGTAGTTAATTTCGCAGTGCCTGTAGTCGATCGAGCCTTACGTACCGGTAGAGCTGGAGTGATGATAGTGGTGTCGAGGGATATAACAAAAGATAAGAGGGCCAGACAGCCAAAAATTAGCCACTGTTGTTTTTGGGGCTTCCAGGGTCGCAGGCTCTGAATTTCCGAATTCAAGCCTTTCATGGGCTCCTTGTCGGTTGTATCGCGCTCGATGATCTTGTTCTGCATGTTGTCGATAATTTTACATGAGCATCAACAAAAGAATTATTATCAAGCATAAAAATGGAGGATGAAGGAAACAAGAAATTTTGGTTTGTGTTTTTCACTCTATCACCCTGATTGTAGGCATGACTTGAGGCTCGATATTTGAACCAGGCAGTCAATATTATTATTTGAAAGCCTAGGCAAATGTTTTCAGACTTAAGTCCCCTTACATTAAGGACATTAGTTATTGGTTACAGCTATCATTAATAATAGTGATAATTAAATCAGGTAATCCGGGCTTGGATGGGATACTGGACGCGCCGCGTTCGACAGCCACTTGGTTCCACTGGAATGTGGAGCTGCCTTCACGAAAATACGACTTAAAAGTACCAAGGTTTCAAACGAATACCGGTCTCTGTAATGTGATGCAGAGCCACGTCGGTGAATACCAAGTGTGCTGACCCTTAATGGCCCACAGATCTTCGTAATATCCAACGTGCATATCCCTTACTCCCAAGAGGCATCGAGTGTACTCATCAAGTGCGCAAACCTTATCAATTGCGGAAGTTGTGCTTGTACGAAGATGGGCGAGCAAGTATTTCCACATATTTTTTCCTTCTGCTTAATCTCCTATCGAGATACAAACTTCTCCAGATATTGAAATGGCCAAACAAACCTTTTGTGTAGAGTCCCTCGCCCTTGTGCAAGGTCCGCCAGAACCTCCCCTCTGGGTAGTGAACCTGGAAAGCGTCCTCAACGAAAAAGCAGAACACTATCATGAAAAGCCTGCGATTATTTTTCCATGGCAAAACCAGCAGCTTTCGTTTGCCCAGTTGCGCCAGCGTGGTCAACTCGTTGCTGCATCGCTTCTTAGCGCCGGTGTACAGCATGGTCACTGTGTGGGTATCATGGCCGGCAACCGCTACGAGTATCTCGAAGTCTTTGTCGGGGGTGCACTTATTGGTTGTAAGGTGTTGGTTCTCAATAACACTTATCGACCATGGGAGCTTTGCCATGCGCTCGAGAGGACCGGTATGACCTTTAACCTCCGAATCCAGCAATAAGCAGCTTGCTACTGTGGTTCTAAGACTGTGTAGAGTGTCGAATCCTTTTTCTAGCTCCGACCATCGGCTCACGGAGCCTTATTGAACATGTCAACTTATTATGCAGTGCATCCAGCCAGTCTTCCCTTCCAAGCCTCAGTCAGATTGTGTTTTTCGGAGATTCACCAGCAGACGTCACAATGAAACACCAAAACTACGCTGAGTTTACGTCTTCCATGACGGTTGATTCCGACAAATGGTCTGAAGTGGGATGTGTGCGCCAAATCGTTCAGCCCTCAGATACCCTGAGTTTTCAACTTACCTCTGGTGAGTAGTTCCCACCCGTCCGAAACCTCGGGCAGCTTCTCATCTCCTCAATTTTCAATAGGCACAACTGGTCTGCCTAAAGTGGCCATGTTATCTCATTTGTAAGTCTACGACACGTTGCCTTCCATAAGACCCCTTAATTAACACCAGGAAAGGAGTATGCTCAACAACGCGCGCTTTGTGGGTCAAAGGCTGGGTATCGCGTCAACTGATGTGATTTGCTGCCCTCCGCCGTTGTTCCATTGTTTTGGTCTCGTGATGGGATTTTTGGCGAGTCTCATTCATGGCACGACTATCGTCTTCCCATCCGATCATTTCAATGCTGATGCAGTCCTGGAATCGGTATATCGCCATCAGTGCACAGCTCTCCTAGGCGTACCTACCATGTTTATTGCAGAGCTGGAGGCGCTTCAGTCTAGAAACGACCCTATAATTAGTCTTCGCAAAGGTCTTATCGCCGGCTCAACTATATCGCACATATTGATGAATCGGCTCAGTAAGTCTATGGGCTTGAGTGAGATGATGATTGCATATGGCATGACTGAAACTGCTCCTGTGTCCTTCATGAGTGCAGCTGATGATGCTCCCAACAAGCGAAATGAGACTGTCGGGCGTGTGATGCCTCATACTCAAGCTAAAGTTATCAATCACTTGGGCGAGACAGTACATCGCGGTGCAAGAGGTGAACTTTGTGTGAGTGGCTATGGGCTGCAGAAGGGCTATCTCAAAAATGCAACAAAGACGGCGGAGGTCATGAGTTTTGACAAAGATGGGGTATTATGGATGCATACAGGCGATGAATGTGTGATAGACAGTGAGGGATACTGTCGCGTTACAGGAAGAATTAAGGATATTATTATCAGAGGTAAGTCTTCGTGATCAGTGAGCCTCTGAGCAGTCCCATTTTTCTTTAATATCTCTTTTGATGATCGGGCAGTGACTGAAATGAACCTAGGGGGAGAGAACATATTTCCCGCTGAAATTGAAGATCGCCTTATCGCCCATCCAGCCGTCTCCGAAGCCAGCGTTGTTGGTGTGCGAGATGCCAAGTACGGAGAGGTTGTGGCGTGTTTTCTGAAGAGTGCTTTGCAGCCGGTAGACAGGCCAACAACGGAGGAAATTCAGAGCTGGGTACGTGATGTGATGAGCAGATCCAAGTCTCCACAGCATGTATTTTGGGTTGGTGATGGGGGAGTGTGCGAAGACTTTCCCACTACTGGGAGTGGGAAGCACCAGAAGCATTTGCTCCGAGAGATTGGAAATAAACTTCTTTGCTGCTAGTACTATCGCGTCCCTTGACAATCAAGACTAAAATGTTTTAACTCTTGTCATTCAGGCAGACCAATGGCAAGGTAGTTAAATGTTGACTTTAATATGTCATTTCATATATTCACCTCTTTCACTACTGGAGCTCTGAAATCAACATTGCAAGTTTCCGCGCCCTCTCTATCTAGGCTTCGCTTTCCTAGCTCCGGACATTTTGCTTTGTCAGGCTCTGGGCTATTTTTTTCATAGTTTCAGGAGCATCCTCTTGGAGCATATAGAGCTCCACCAGCTTGAAAGATGCGTCAGCGTTAAGTCGTTTGACTTATGAATGGGTGAATTACCTGTAATGCCGAACAGTCGTTGAACTTCCGACTCGAAAGAAGACCTTGTAGCTGGGCCTGTGTTTGGACAAGATGTGTACGGTAGGCTCTGGCTGGCGCCCCAAAAGCAGCCGGTAGTTTTCGGTATTTCCAAGGTTGAATGTCGTTGTACTTTTCCAGCCAACCATGGATAAGTCGTTCAGTTGTATAGCCGTTATTGCAGATCACAAATCTATGCCAGCGTATTAGTATACAATGTTCTCAATGCAGTGGGAGAAATAGTATTGATGTACATTATTGGATTGAGTCCCAGGCGCAATATGGTACTCAACTCTTGACAACCGAACTGGAAACTGCCATCTCCGATGAAAAGAATAGTTCTTTTTTGGTTCCCGAAACAATCTCGCACGGCTTGTGCTGCTCCCTGGCATGCACCCACGGTGTAACCAATGCTTCCCCACAGATACTGACTGATCAACATAGCGTCGGTTGGGAAAGATGTCTCCCAGATCCCAAAGCTGGAGGTTCCCGTCTCTGCCAGAACGATATCTCCCTGTCTAAGCCATTTCCCAAGAGTAGGCCATAGCCATGCATGTTTTACCAAATGTCTTTCACGGGGACTCAGGAGAGGGAGGCAAGACAGTTTATGCAGGAAGGTCTGACGTATCTTTAGCAGCGAGCAAAGTATCTTTGGAGAACGGAGGTCTATGTCCTTCTTCCATAGTGAGCATTTCTGGTCAACTTTTGTATACGGAGAAGAAGCTGTCCAGTTTGTGATCAGTCTTCGTAGTACACCCTTGAGAAATAGGTTATACGGATTGCCTCGGAACGTAACGTTTGTTCTCTGGAGACTGATCATTCGTTTGGACTCAATATTGCCGCTGAATCCTGCCGTGCTGAGGTCAGATTGGATATGGCCGATTGAAATTATCAGATCAGATGATTCGACCATCCAGGATATGCAAGGATCGGAGAATTGTCCAATATATAGTCCTTTGAAGAATGGCGTCTCTTCATTGATAATTCCTTGGCCATTAGGCGCAATAAATGTAGGTATTTGTAAAACTTGAACCAATTCAAGTACGTCTTCAAAAGTACCATGCCGAACTCCATGGCCTCCAAGAAGTAAGACCGGATTCTTCGAGCGCTGGATATCATCAAGAATTTTATCGACGACCCATGTCTCCTCATCTTGGTCATTTTGGAAGGACAGATTAAGCCCTATGGATAGCTTTTGGACGTCAACCGGGGATTGAACAGTATCAGATGGAAGAAATAGCACGACTGGTCGGCTCTGAACCCAACACTGGCGGATGGCTTGATCAATGAGATCAGGAGCAGTTTGTGGATCATCTAAATTTACAGCCATCACCGAAACCGCTGCCGTCATCTTGGAAAACACAGAAAAGTCTCCGTTTCCCAAGGTATGGTGAACACATAGACGGTCTGCTTGAACACGGCGACTGGGCTGTCCAACAATATGAATGACTGGTACATGTTCCGCAAAGGCACCGGCAATCCCGCTTAGCGCTGGTAATTCACCGACCCCCATGACCGTCATCAAGGCCGAGATTCCATTGACGCGCGCATAGCCATCGGCAGCAAAACCTGGGACATTGCAAAGTCAGATATCTTTCCTTACTATGGGAAACAATTTACCATACTGGCATTCAGTTCATTGCAGTTTCCAACCCACTGGAGACCGCATTTTGCTACTTGATCGAGGGACACTAGGTTAAAGTCTCCTGCCCCAATGTCAAGACACTGTAAATAAACTGGCAAATAACCCACGGAGGACTTACCTGGCACACCATGTATAGAGCGTACTCCACATTCCCTGATCCTCCGTAGAAGATACTCTGCGAGTTCAATGGCCATAATGTTACTTACTGTATCCTCCTTTTACGAAGAAATACAACCTGCCTTTACTTTTTCGTATGATCGGACATCTTATAAGAGTGCCTATGGGAGCCTAATCACTCACTTTAGCCCACTTGCACAAAGAAAATGGAACAATATCCGTCGTGCTTTCGCTCTATCTAAATCCACCTTTTCCACGTAAGGGGCTTTTGATGCAAATGGAAATTTTGCCGTTTATGGAATCTGGGAGAGCCACAGTGGCATCTGCCTTAAAAGTCGAGATAATCCAGGACTAGAGTAGAGTTTTAGGTGTGTTGGAGTAATTATGCAGGTTCATGAAGTGAGATCTGCCCTAGAACTCCTTGAAGATTGTTGATTGTTCACTTATGACCTTTGATCGGCACCTTGCAAATATCACATCTTTGTAAGGGGCTGGTTAGTGGGGATTTTGGATATTCAGTTCGGTAATGTTGCAGGATTTATGAGAATCTGTTGGATCGCAGAATGTCCGTAAGAATCAGTACTGAAGGAAATCGTGTTTTGAGTGGGCCGCTTGGTCGGGAACCACGTTAGCCTAACTGAGCTATGTATGTCCCGTTCTGTGAAGCGTCTCCACGAGGGTTCAAGAGGGTGCATCCTGGAGGTAATTTCCCTCTTTTTCGGCCGATGGGCTTATTCCTGCAGATATGCATCCGAAGATTCATTATGTTGCCAAAAATATGGTTCTTTTGAGGAATATGATGTAGAAGGAGTTTCTGACCTATCGAAATGGGAATAAAAGGCTTACGGAGTCCACACTGCACGGCGTTTCCAACGTGATGTTTTGGGATCGAAGGCGGGAGGCCACACAATCAGTGTTGCAGAAGATATGCCCATTGATCAGGCTATTTCTTCACCTCACAGAAAGAGGACACACCGCGATTTGACATATCGCAAGTTCTCGTATTTACACCGCCGATTATTGGGTTCTGGGATTGTGCTTGTGATTTGGATTAATGATTTCATGCATTTATTCACTCTACTTCCAATACGCCTCGTTCAGTTTATAATGCAGCCCCCGTATTCTGGAATAATAATATATCCTTACTAAATCCTTCTTCTAGATAAGAGAATCCAAACCGCAGTCTACGATATCCGAGATCACCGCTCAAACCGGACAGCATTCAATTCTGAACGAGGGGGCATCAGCATCGCTTGGAAGCTTTCGCAAGAATGTCCAGCGTACAGAAAATCGAATTTCAAACGGTCGACGGCATTACTCTACGGGGTCACCTCTTCCAGGCCGGCAAGCAAGGACCTGCGGTCATAATGACCCCTGGGGTACGTATTAAGGCATCGTCGCAATTGGCAACTCAATTCTCACGCGACTCTTAAGTTCAATATGGTCAAAGAAATCTGCCTCCCAGACATCGCCGCGGAATTTCAACGTAATGGTATTACCGCGCTCATTTACGATCCTCGCAACTACGGTGAAAGCCACGGCTCGCCACGCAATCAGCTTGACCCACTAAAGCACGCCGAGGACTACTCAGATGCATTCACCTTTTTGGCGAAGCAACCTTGCGTCGACAGTACCCAGATTTATTTTTGGGGCTGGTCCTACAGCGGCTCAATATGCCTAGGTGCTGCATCACTTGATGTACGAATTAGGGGCGCAATTGTCCTATGCCCTTGGGTCAATGACGTCGTGTCGCCAGATACCGCGCACAAGGCTATGAAGAAGTTTCTTCGGGATCGCGAGTCTCAGTTGCAAGGGAACCCTCCATTTTACATTCCTATCGTTGATTCAACCGGGGCAAACCCTGTCGGCTGGGGACCTGCTCTCGGTCAGGAAATGTATCGATCTGTCGCACGCTACAAGGAGACTATTGCGCCAAACTTTGAGCCCAAGATTACCTTGCAGTCATATTTTAAGATGTTGCAGTGGAATCCGTACTCCATGCTTCGGTTTTTAGACTCTACCCCGGTCCTCATGGTAGTTCCTGAGCTGGACCATGTCTGTCCACCACAAATACAGCGGGATGTTTTTGACTCCGTCATGGCACCGAAAAGGATCTTCAATGCTGAAGGCTGTGGTCATGAAGATGTTGCAGTTGGAGACAAGTCGGGGCCCTCACTGGAATGTCAGTTGCAGTTTATTCGCGATGTTCAATTTGGCCGCTTTCCTTGAAGATGTGTGTATGGTGCAATATTGCTACTTTCTCTACCTGCAAACGCATTCTCAACTGGGCTATGGCTACCTTTTAGCATCATCTAACTTCCACCCCTAGGCTTTAAAGTCGTTCAAGATGTAATAATTATCCAAATACCAGGACTCCCTGGGTATATAGATTCATGGGCCGAGAAGGTTGTCTGCAACTGGAAATATGCAGGCAATGCCATTGGGAGAAATCATTTTGGTTATGCGCTATTTAAATGTTAGCAAGTTCGAGCCAAGAGATGCTGGCATCAGCCAATCAGATGTTTAGCTTCAGTGATATAGGCCAGGCCTCTTAGTAAACTGGTGCATGAAAAGTCATATTCTTTGGGTCCGCTGAGTGTATTAAACTTTCTGCTAGCCCACAGCTGTGTAACTATGAGTATGACCACGCTATCCAAAATGGCTCAATAGATCCACATTAAGTTACATGCAGCTTTTTGACTAGTGAAAATTTTCCAACACCAGCAGCGAAAATTCTTGCAGCTGAATGCCGCAGTCTCATTAATTTGTGACAGGTCTGGAGTAGTCAAGTATGCATTTGGATTCCCATTTAGAGGTTCAAACGAGGGAATCGGGCTCACTTGCATTCGTCATAAGGTATGGTGCATCCAACTTCGGTGTACCCATCATTTTCGTATGGGCATAAAGTGTTTTCTAAGTGTTGTTGTGAGACCAAACAATTGAAACCATTTCAACTGCCATTCATCTGAACCTACGCAATATCACCCGAAGAACCTGTTCAATTGACATACTGACAAGAAACAATGGGCAGCATCGAGCCATCGAAAGGCTTGGAGCCTATAGCGGTTATTGGGATGTCATGTCGACTGCCGGGTGGAAACGATACGCCAACAGCCTTGTGGAAGTTTCTCCAAGATGGCCGGGTCGCCAGCAACAAGATCCCAATGTCTCGCTTTGATGCCGAAAACCATTTTCAAGGCTCTGGGCGCCGACAGCCTATGAAAAGCCCCGGGGCTATGTGTCTGGATGCAGAGGAAATCCATGAGTTTGATGCTGGCTTCTTCGGAATCTCTCGCGCGGAAGCTATTTCAATGGACCCTCAACAACGACATCTACTTGAGATTGTCTACGAGAGCCTGGAAAATGCCGGAATCCCGATTGATGCAGCAAGTGGTTCCTGCACTGGTTGCTTTGTGGCATCCTTTACGGTGGGTTCGTGGCCAATTTGTCCTATTTCAAAACATGTCAAAATGCTCATCTGCTGGATAGATTATGAGGACATGCAGAAGCGAGAGCCTGAGCATCGGCCGCCTAGTGTGATCACAGGCATTGGGCGCGCTATCCTAAGTAATCGAATCAGCCACTGTTTCAACTTAAAGGGCCCAAGGTAAAAAGCCCTCCGAAAGTGCCAAGACAATATGAATATACTAATGGTTTCTCCTCAGTATGAGTATTGACACTGGATGCTCGGGGAGCTTGGTCGCTGTCGATGCTGCCTGTCGCTACATCAGCTCCGGAGACATAAATATGGCCATCGTTGCAGCTGCAAATTTGTTTTTGAGGTATGGACAGTAATTAAAAAAAAAAAAAAAGTGTGTATGGAACTCGCTGCTCACATTTTACATAGTCCCGAGCATCTTATGAACGGTACGAAAGACCTTGATAGCGATGTGCCTAGAAAGTACTAATTCCTTATGCGGGAAGAGGGATCCATGGGCTTCATACACTCCCCAACTGGACTTTGTCACACGTTCGATGAAAAAGCAGATGGGTATGTCAAAGCAGAAGGCATTAACTGTATTATTTTGAAACGGCTTGGGGATGCCCTGCGTGATTGCGACCCCATTCGAGCTGTGATCCGCGGTTGGTCGACAAACAGTGATGGCAATACCCTGGGTATCTCTACCCCAGACGCGAAATCACAAGCAGCCTGCATCAAATCGGCATACAAGTGCGCTGGGATTGAAAACCTTGGTGCAACAAGCTATATTGAATGCCACGGAACGGGCACACCAGTAAGGTCCCTGTGCATCTCGATGCTAGAAATGAATATTTTCTGACCGAGGCAAAAGGCCGGAGATGCAACAGAGCTGAACGGCCTCTCTTTAGCCTTCAAGGGTGTTCTGCAAGGCAATGCTCCTCTCCAAATCGGCTCGGTAAGCTTCACCTCCTGTTTATCGACAAGAGGCATTGAGAAGTACAAGCATTGGTGCCAAATGACTTCATCAGGCTAAAATAACTATTTACAATATTCAGATAAAAAGTAACATTGGACATTCGGAGCCAGCCGCTGGACTGTCTGGGCTGATTAAGGCCATCCTGTGCCTCGAAAATGGCACAATACCGGGCAATCCTACCTTGTTAACACCTCATCCCGATCGTTAGTAAAAGAAATTTCTTTGTGGAAGAATAGCAACTCATTCTCCTATAGTGGATTTCGAAAAGCTGAGAATGCTGCCTTCCCGCATGGCAAGACCGTGGCCTTCTGTCCCTGTTCGCCGCGCTGGAGTCAATTCCTTTGGTTATGGCGGATCAAATTCCCACGTTATTGTCGACGAAGCCACTCCGCATTTGAACCGTTTTACAGGAACATCTCATGTCTCATCGTACTCATCCATCATTGATATCTTTGCCGATGATGATACAGGCCCCATAACTCGACCTTACATTATACCCCTTTCCGGCTTTAATCAAAGTTCCCTTGAGGGAAATTGTCAAAGATTAGTTCGTCATTTGGCCCACATGGAAGTGCAGATTAAGGTTGAAGACTTGGCTTATACTCTGGCTGCTCGGAGGACACATTTCCCATTCCGGGCCTACGCAGTGATGTCAAATCCCAAGTTAAATATGGAGTCATTTGCTCTAGGCAAGATGAGCCTGCAGTCCCCGAAAATTGCATTTGTCTTTACGGGACAGGGTGCTCAGTGGCCTGGCAAACTAGGAAGTGATCTTATTCGCATGTTCCCACTTGCAGAGAAAATCCTGAGGCAGTTGGACCTCGTGCTTCAGAGCTTTGAAAATCCCCCCAGTTGGTCCCTTTTTGGTCAGTTAGTTCGTGTTTGAGCTAGGACGGTGACATACTGACGCACGCCTACAGAGAAGTTCATCGAGCCCCAGGATCAAAAAATGCCTGACGTACCTGCTTTATCCCAGCCTCTTCTTACAGCAATCCAGATCATTTTGGTGTGCCTGCTGGAGAGCTGGGGTGTCAGTCCCAAAAGCGTCATTGGACATTCGGCTGGTGAAGTCGCATCTGCTTATGCTGCTGGGTTCCTCACCCAAGAAGAAGCAATCAAATTGGCATTCTACCGCGGCTATTCAACGCAAACCTGTCAGAATAATGCTAATGACCAATACGGAATGCTAGCTGTGGGTCTTGGTCCAAATGATGTGCAGGAATATTTGAAAGACTCTGAAAACCAGGTCCAGATAGCCTGTTTTAACAGTCCCAGTAGCATCACATTGTCAGGTACAATGGACGCTTTGGTCGATTTGAAGCAGAAATTGGAGGATGACAAACGATTTTGTCGGTTACTGAACATAAACAAGGCCTACCACTCACGGTTCATTCAACCAACTGCGGAAATGTTTGCGAACTTCGTCCAACGTGATTCACCCGCTGCGAGGACTGGAAACCACGATGTCAAGATGTTCTCAACAGTCTCTGGCCACAGACTGGACACTATTTTCCACGATACTCATTGGAAGAACAATATGATGCTCCCAGTCCAGTTCACACAATCCTGCAGTGATATGCTCTTAGATGGTGATGCTCCTACTGTGTTGATAGAGCTTGGACCCTCCAACGCATTGAAAGGCCCGGTTGCTCAAATACAGACCGATATTTTTGGGGATAAGCATTGTGCTCAGTATTTTCCGGCATTCGTGAAAAGCGACAATCCCGTGGAAGGTATTTTTGATCTTGCGGGATCTCTGTATCTCACTGGTGCCCCCATTGCTCTTGACAAGTTTAACGGGAGCACAACCACAAAACCTCGTCATATTGTGGACCTTCCGAACTATTCTTGGGATTATTCCACCAAATACTGGCACGAAAATCAGTCGAGCAAAGACTGGAGGATGCGACTGTTCCCACATCATGAGCTGTTAGGGACCAAAATCCTCGGTAGTTCCTGGGATCGTCCTTCATGGAAGAGAACCTTCCGTCTCCGTGATGTCGGTTGGATGACAGATCACCAGCTCGCAGGAACTGTTCTCTTCCCGGGAGCTGGTTACGTTGCTATGGCTGTGGAAGCTATCCGGCAGATGATGACTGCATTGGGTACTTACAAGCTAAATGGTGAGGACTATGAGGCGCGGGTTAAGCTACGAAATATTTCGTTCAAGAAGGCACTGCCAATGATTGAAACACAGGAGTTGCAACATCTTCTCACACTGCAGCCACGGAATGGTGATGGTTGGTATGAGTTCCAGATTTCTTCTTTCCAAGAGTCTTCCTGGATAGAGCATTGCTCTGGGCAAATAACCCGATGTCACGCTCTCGCTGAATGTAAGACTGCCGTACTTTTGGTCTGCTGTTTCCAGATTACTGACTTGTCACTAGTTTCCTCCGAAAGCAACATGAGACCCCTTGAACATATTATCTCGCAGAGTCGTTGCTACGAAAGCTTCGCAGACACTGGATACCATTATGGTCCCACCTTCCAGAAGATAGAAGCCGTGGAGCTCCTGGGATGCTCCCTGGAGGCCCGGTCTCTGGTATCGCTGGATGGACCCAAGGACGCATCACATTCCTCATACCTTATTCATCCGTGTGCTCTTGATGGTTGCCTTCAGACCATCATTGCCGCATCATGGGAGGGTGATATCACCAGCCTGACACAGCCTGCAGTGATCCTCTCAATCGACTCACTTGAGATCACTGAGGGCGCGTTCAATCAGGGTGGGGAGGCACTTTGTCTTTCAACCAAACAATACAGTGGTAGAGGGCGCCCAGATCTCCTAAAAAGCTACACTGGGTCTGTCTTGGCGTACCACAAAGACGACAACCGACTTGCACTTCGTGTTGAAGGAGTGCGGCAGGCTGCTATACTCGGTAAAGACCAGAGAACAAATTCAAAATACCACAAGATCTCTTGGAAACCAGACATCGCTTTGACAAATAAAGATTTGACCTTGAGCTCACCAACAGCAGCGGGAAATATTCAGGAATTGATCGATATGGTTATACACAAGTGCTCACCCTCCAAAATAGCCGAGGTCCATTTTGGCCAATCTGAGGAGCCTAGTGTCTGGCTGAGTGACAACCTGGTATCTCCACGGGAGGACTATAAATCATGCTCAATCTTTTCTTCCGATGTTTCTCAACTTGAAGGAGCGAGAGAATCACTAGGCACTAGACAGGGCGTTCAAATGGCTGTGTTCGATGTCGACGCTCCAGAGTTTGATATCGCCGAGGAACTTGATTTTATCTTTGTTGGTGTCAACGAGCCAACTAAACGAGACAGAGTTCAACTGGCATTGGATAAACTCAGCTCTCACCTCTCAGGCAAGGGGTATCTATTACTGATTGAGCATGAGCAGGTTTCAAAAGATTCCCCTGTTTCATTTGAGGAAATGAAAGTGAGTGATGGCTCTGAGAGTGGTATCATAAACGAAACGATGTGTCGAGAGCTGAGCAACTCTGGATTCAAATTTCATGAAATTTGGAACCCCGACAACGCAAAATTTCGAGCAGTGATTTATGCTGCAAATCATCAAAGCAATGGCATTCAAATTGCGAAACATATGCACATTGCCCATTTCTCCTCGTCTGCATTGATCCCGGAGAAGCTCAGAGGGTTACTTGAAGAGGCCGGTTATACTGTGGTGGAGCATCAGCTTCCTTTCGACAAAATTCCTCAAGGTCACCAGATACTCGTCCTGGACGAGCTTCAGCTGCCTGTTCTGAGAAACCCCTCACATGAGCAGTGGGAGGGCTTGAAGTCTTTGACAAAATCGGACAGCAAGCTTTTGTGGGTTACACAAGAAGCACAGCACAAAGTCCGTCAGCCTGACATTGCACTAGTGCATGGATTATTCAGAACGATTAGGGCTGAGAATCCACAATGCACGTTGACAACGTTGGATTTGGAGTCATCTGCAATGAAATCTCTACTTACCATTGTCCCCATACTCCATTATCTGGATAGGCCATCGTCCACCTCACAACTCGAGAGTGAGTTCGTTGAGCGTGGAGGAGTAATCCACATCAGCCGAATTATCCCGCACGAGACAGAATTTCAGCGCCACCAAGAGGATAGCAAATCGCTGCGATGCTTTGGTGACACTGAGCGAGGTTTTGGCCTTCAGTGTGGCAGTCTAGGTGCTCTTGAGTCTCTCGAGTTTGTTGAAAGAGCTTCTCCAAATATGGCCATCAAAGACGGGCATGTGGAAGTAGATATGATGGCTGTCGGGATGAACTTCAAGGTAATAACCCCATTGATCATCCGAGAGTAATATGTGATCGCACATCTTGCTGATATTCTTTACCACAGGACGTTGCGATAGTTATGGGTGTTGTTGATGAGAATGAACATACCCTCGGGTCTGAAGGAGCAGGAGTTGTCACGCGTGTGGGCGCAGATGTTCAAGATTTCCATATTGGGGATCGTGTCATGTTGATTCACAGCGGCTGCCTGGGTAATCGAATCCAGGTACCCCAAGGAAGAGTCCAACGCATACCAAACAGTATTTCTTTCGAGGTAAGTGCTTCTTTAAGTGACGAAACTTTCTTTCTGCCAGAACGAAGCTCAATCCCGCTAAAATAGGACGCGGCCACTATGCCAGTCTGTTTTTCCACGGCTATTTACAGCATGCTTACTGTTGGTAACCTTCGCTCAGGTCAAGTACGTCTAGCTCAAGAAGTATCCACTCCGAAAATGAACGACATACTTACCCACGGCATATTCTAGACCGTCCTGATCCATTCCGCAGCAGGGGGCCTCGGTCTGTCTTGCATACAAATTGCGCGATATATTGGCGCAGAGGTAACACACCAGTTTCTGCTGTGTTAGCATGGGCTAAATGCTTTACAGATATTCGCCACAGTAGGCACAGAGGAGAAAATTGATTTTCTCGTTGAAAAGCAGGGGATACCTCGTGATCATATTTTCTCTTCCAGAGATACCCAGTTCGCAAGTGCTATCATGAAAAAAACCAATGGTCTCGGGGTTGACCTTATACTCAACACCCTGGTCGGGGATCTGCTGCATGAATCGTGGAGAATATGTGCGGATGGGGGAACATTTGTCGAGTTGGGGAAGCGAGACATCAGAGAGCGAAAGTCCATTTCCATGGAGCCATTTGACCGAAACTGTTCGTTCAGAGCTGTTGACCTCTCGTACAAACAAATCAGCAGTGAGCTGATGAAAGGGTACGGTTGCCCTTTCCCCTGTCCTATCGGCTCTGTTTTCGCCTTCTAAATTGAAGCTAATGTGGAAAATACAGAATTCTCAAGCGAATCCATGATTTGGTTATAGAGGGGCATATCCAGCCTTTAAATCCGGTCACTCCATTTCCATTCAGTGATGTACAGGGTGCATTCAGACATCTCGCAAAGGCATCTCACATTGGTAAAGTCATCCTTTCTTGCTTCCATGGACAGTCCACATGCCGAGACTCGCATTGCATGGTCTCCGTTCGATCTGCCGAGCCCAAGGTACAGCTTCGCCCAGACGCCTCATACCTTGTCGTTGGTGGACTCAAAGGAATCTGCGGGCGGTTTGCCTTTTATATGGCCAAAGCTGGGGCGAGGCATCTTGTAATTATGTCACGTTCTGGCTGTGATGACTCTCGCTCACAAAGTGTCCTCGCCCGCCTGAAACATATGGGGTGCGAGGTTGTCGTCATCCGTGGGGACGTATGCCAGCTTGGGGATGTGGAGCGTGCAATAACTGCGGGACCCAAACCAATTGCTGGTATTGTTCATGGAGCAATGGTTCCAATTGTAAGTCTCTCACATCTGATATACTACAATGTGCCAAATCACTCACGCCGTTGCTTGTCAGGGTAATATCTTCGAAAGCACAAGCGCAGCTGACTTCGCGGCTACCATTGCGCCAAAGGTGACTGGAAGCTGGAATCTACACACTGCAGCGCTGAATCGAGCGCTTGAGCTCGACTTTTTCACCATGCTCTCCAGCCTCTCTGCTGTCCTTGGTCTGAAAGGTAATGCTAGCTACGCTGCTGGAAATCATTTCCAAGATGCTTTTGCTGCATATCGCCAGAGCTTGGGATTAGCTGCGAACGCAATCGATCTGTCGCTGGTGGAAGATCTGGGCTACATGACTGAAAGCACATCAGTCAAACAGCAAGTTGCTGGCGAGGGCAAACTCGTCTTTTTCAAAGAGCGCGATCTGGATAGAATCATTCAAGATTCAATTCTGGAACAGACTGCTAGACATGGAGATGCAATCCCACAGCTAATCACGGGCTTAAATTCCCCTATGCCAGTAACTGGAGATGGACCCATACACCACCAAGACCCAAGGTTCAGCACTATCGTTACGCGCGACACCGTCAAAGTATCTGGACCGGACTCTGGCTCTGATGGTTATGATAACCTCACTGAAAAGTTGATTGCCGCCCTGAAGAAAAATGATGAAGTCAAGCGAGATGTCATCGTAAGCGCTGCATTAAATGTCTTTAACTTGAAGTTGATGCAGGTGCTGCAGACCGGCGAGGAGCCACTAGAGCCAGCAAGGTCACTAGCATCTTACGGATTAGACTCTCTATCCGCGATGCAGTTCCGCAACTGGGTGCAAGTGACTTTTGGCGTGGAAATATCAACGGTGGATATTACGTCTGCCCCATCACTGCATGGATTGACGCAAAACTTTGTGGACCGGGTCCGCAAGTGAAAGGGCGTTTCTTGTTTCGGCATCACACTGTGTGGTTGGTCTGTGAAGAGCTGTGGCCTGCACCGTTACAGATCCAACTGCTGGAGAGGCTTCATGGGAGTGAATACGCGACAGCGTGGTAAAGGATGTAGCAGAATTCGGCGGATTCGTCAGTCCAACTTTAGGAGTTAATTACGATCACTTGCCTGCTCTGCAACTTCACTATATCAACATACTAGATTATTTGAAAATAGAATTTCTCACACGCGACGTGCACAATTATGTATTTAGTCTGGCATTCTTGCGGTCGCAACTGGGTTAAAGACCTAGATTTCCTTGTAACATCTTTCCAAAACAAGGCAGAAAAATTGTTTTCAAAAATTGTACTATACTTGAGTTACAATGCGTGCATGGTACCGAGTAGTCGATTGCTGCCTTGTTCAAGGCACCGGCAATCTAATTGAGATGCCTAGATACGAATCAACCTTTCAATGATAAAATTTCTCGGCGGTAGATATTCTTTATAACCAAGAAAATTTTTTCCATATTTCTCATCGTGTTTGAAAGTCTGGCACATGATAGTTCGGTCAGGAACGGATATCAATATGGCTGTCACCGAGGTCGGCTGCATGGGCGTTAAGCCTTCATTTGATGTCACAAACGACGCCACGGCAGAGGGCCAGATTCTGACCAAATTGTACAACTATGTTATCACTGCGCCCGGAGGACCAAATCAGGTGTATTGGGGCCTTGAGGCTGAGGATCCGAGCTACCTTTGGGGATTCTTTGACTGGAACTCAATTGAAGATCATGAGAATTTCGCTAGGACGTAAGTATCCATCCCCTGAAAGCCAAAATAGTATAATAACAAAAACATAGACTAGGCCAGGAAGCCGTAAAGGATATGCCGAAAATCCTCAGCCGTGGCTTCTTTACGAAGCACATTACGGCCACGCCAACTCTATCAACCGCTCTGCAATCTCGTGCGACAGAAATAATCCTGGCTTATTTCCCTCAAGATATCTCATCAACCCAGAGAGATTCAGCTATTGGACGTCTCCAGAATTTCGAGGACGACCTCAAGAGCCTCTCGGGCATCCAAGCATTGAGCTACGGATGGGGCGTGGAGAAAGACTTTCCCGTGAGAGGTGGTTCAGATGATCAGAAAGCGTCTATTCTCATGTCCTTTGCGGGGCTTGATAGTACTGGTGCACAGAGAAATCTTAGGGAGTCGTTGGCATTTGAGAAGCTGTTACGCTTGATGCGGAGCATGGAGGGGATCATCAAACTGGAGACTTTCTCTGTCAAATTCCGATCCCTGGCTCGCGACACTATGGCGGAGAAGTTTTGAGGATGTCTTATTTCTCTGCTGAAATTGAACCCCTCTACTGATCTCCATCCTAGTTCCATGATGCAGGTTGTGATGTCCCGAATATGTAGATTTATCTTCGTATTTCTGGGCCCACCGGGCTCTCGTCCAAGCACTAGGATTCAAACAAAAAGCCAAGGTCTTCATCGAGTAGTCAAGCAATCGGAGTAATTTAGACTTGATTTGGGACATCCATAACGAAGTGAAGCAATCGGTTTCTACAAGATCCCCCACATTCCTAATCGAGACCCCGCCATGAGTCAAGGACGATCGCACCGGCCGCCTAATTTTGTGGCGGCCTTGGCGGTTTGTGTACCGTCTTCCATCTCCCCTCCCTCCACGCAGGTGAACATAAACACCCATTTGCAAGACCAGCCGTGGGCTTTAATCAGTCCACTTGGATCGTTGCAACTTCATTCATAGCTCATCACAGCAAAATGGCCGGGGATTTACTTGAGCAAGATGAAGTGCGCAAGGAGGTCGAACAGCAGCTCGCTCAAACCTCTTTCAGGTGCTCCTCGCTCAGCCAATTATCTGGTGGTACCGCCAATTTCGTCTATCGAGGCATTCCCCTCTCTGGAGATCCAGAATCCATCATCATCAAACATACCAAGAACTACTTATCATCCAATGCTAGCTTCAAGCTTGATGCCGAGAGATGTGTGAGTGTGCACCAACAAAGTTGGTGAAGCAAAATATTAATTCCCAATTAGCATTTTGAAGGAGCCATACTCAAAGCACTTGATGGTCTTGAGTCCCCCGAGTTGTCAGACAAGATTAAGATCAAAACACCTCAACTCTTCCACTTTGACAAGGAGACAAATACTCAAGTCCTTGAAGATTTGCCAGACTCGGTCGATCTGAAACACTATCTCATTTCGGAGGCCTCTCGCGATATGTCAAAGACTTCCGCGCTAGCTCTAGGAAATAGCCTGGGCTCGTGGCTGCGGGCTTTCCATAGCTGGGCGGCCAAGCCTGAACAAGCAGAAATCAGGGAGATTCTCAGCAGGAATCAACCATTGAAAGACCTGAAGTTCTACATCAACTACATATGGCTGTTGGATACAATTGGAAAATTTCCAACCATTTTGGAAGACAGTCGAGATGTATTCGAGAAAGTTCGCGAATCGGCGGCCGAAGAGCTGAAGAGAACTGAGTATGATGATGAATACAATGTAATCCATGGCGATTTCTGGACTGGAAAGTAAGTCTCACCCTATGCTACCTGCTTGTCAATAAATTTCTAACATTTCCAAGCGTTCTCATGTCCAGCATGCCGCTGACCAGCGACTCGCAAACAACGCTCTTCGTTATTGATTGGGAAATGGCTCAGATTGGAAGCCGAGCACTGGATCTGGGCCAGATGATTGCCGAGACATACGAGACCAAGCTCTTTAAAAATGTCGAACATGGGGTCTGGGTCATCGAAGGCTTGATGGACGCATATGGACATTTGACCGATAGGATGGCATTCCGAACCGCCATTCAGGTCGGCACTCACCTGGTCTGTTTTGGAAGTCGAGTCGCCGGATGGGGCAGTCCAGAGCAAGTAGAGGAGGTTGTGAATGTTGGAAGAGACCTTATAGTACAGGCATGGAAGGAAAATAAGTCTTGGTTTGAGGGACACCACCTTCGGTGCTTGTTTCAATGGTAAGAGTAGCACTACCATGCATGAGGAAGCCGAAAGTATCATAATACATGATATTCGTCCCATTAAAAAACTCATGAGCGAGTGTGTCACAACACGTAGCAGAAATCCTGGTTTTCAAACTCGGTGGTCCTCGCATTCCAGCCTCGTCGTTTTGTGCCTCGTTCGCAGGTCCATAATGTGAGTTTAAGCAACGAATCCAATGACATATAGTCTTTATCATATATCCAACAAGTAGCTCCATAGTAGCACCTTAAAATTCTGGCGCTTGGGGCTGCTTCACCACCACAAATGTACCAGCAAAATTACTCCGGCAATAAGCAGTGCTGTCTTCTGTCAGCCAAAGCTAAAATTATTGTTGGCCTTTCATCAAAATGGCACACACAAGATCATCGCATTGGTCATTGCTCGGTGAGTATAACCAGCCATATTAGAAGAGACGGTCGCCATTGTTACGGTGAACCCAACCGACTATGCATTAGTGAGCCAAAAGCATACTACGCGTATCTAGTAGGCGGTGGGAGAACCCATTCTTGTGCTCTGACGCTCCTCGGTGGTTTCGGCTACGGGAAGCGTCTCAGTGTTTCAATCTGAACATCATCATGGCCTTTATGGAATTACCAACAGAGTTGATGCAACAAATCATCCCGTACACTCTACCAGAGGGATTCGAGAGCCTAGCATTAACATGCAAGCTTCTCTACACACTGTGCACTCCCTTTCTCGAGCACCATAACAATCTACGCTTTCATTTCCGGAAGTTCGAATACAACAAGACGAACAAAGACTTCAGGGAATTTAGATATCATCACGACTTGCTTCGGTTCCCTAATACATCGACCTCGGCGTATAGTCTACTCTCGCAAATTGCTATCGAGCCAGTCGTGGCCCGCTATATTCTTGAGGCCGACTTCTCCCTTGATAGCCATATCTATGATCGCATTCCCCCGCCGTTGCGTGAGAGGGCCGTGCATGAAGCATGGGGAGATCGAGGCGAGGCCGTGCGTCAACTTTTCGCAAACTCATTATACTTGAGGGAAGCAGGACTCGACTGGGAGGAATACTACAACACTATGATGGAGGATATCAATAGCTGGCGCCGGTCAGAACATGCTGCTGCCTTTCTCCTGACGCTTCTACCAAATCTGGAGGTACTCACGCCAAAGTTTTCCGAATTCCGGTCCCCTGCACCCCAAAAGCTCATCACTACCATCCTTGAGATTGCTAGGCGAAATCCGCATGGTAATGCCAGCCTTTGCTCCTAGCTCTGCCGCGTAAGAGAAGAGGCTATGGAATCATATCTCAATTGTCGAGAGAAAGGCTTCAGGATAAACGTAACTAGCATGGCGCTCATGAACTGCGATGTGAATCCTACCATGAGAAAGAACAAAAGGGAAGCTGCCATCATGATCAGGCTCGCCAGGGTCATCAATGCCTTTAGAAGATCCATCGACTCTTTTGATACCCGAAATGAGTCTCTGGTAGACGGCTCAGGTTCAAATGCAACAAGAACAGCGTATTCATCGGGATAACCTGGGTCATGGCCGCATTCCAGAGTCTTGGGCGCATTTGCTTCAATAGCGTTTCGCTAAGCAGAAGTTATACTGGGTGGCACGGTCGCAGTCCAGTGGACGATCTTCGAAAAGGCTCAATCAGAAGCTGTATTTAGCAGGAGATGGGTGGAATGCTACTACTTTTGATGTGTTGAGACTTGCACATATGTACTCACTCAAACTGAACAGGTACATTCCCGATTATGGCATGGCTATCAGACCCTGATCCACAGAGAAGCTCAGTGGTAAGATTGTTCCAATCATACCAGTGGAAAATTGTGTTAGTGGCGGCTCCTCGTACTGGGGCTTTTTAGGGGCCGCAGCGTCGTTTTGTTGAATACTTGATTCGCGTGCGAAGGATACACCCGCAAAGAAGGCCGACCGGACCGACACGTCGACCGTAGCATATAATGCAGATCCAACGTGGCGTATCTAGAAGCAATGAGTCAATAATAACAACTTGCGAGCTAATTTGAAATGTAGACTAGGGTCGATGGGAAGTAGCCGAGAGGAGAGAGGAACCAGGAACAGTCACGAGTGGCTGTGGGGGCGGGCTCTAGAGTACTTCCCCGGGGTCGAGTCGCAGGTCACCTGCCCTCCCCGCAAGTCTCCAGGTTTCTTCTTTTTCCACCCTTCGGATCTTCTACACCCCCCACCGATGTCACGCCAACGCCTACGCCCGGCATGCGCTCCCGAACCGGCTGGTAAATCGATGCAGGCTCCTTTATACCGCTCTTAGCTGACTATGATCCTTGTCCAGCTTGACATGTCGGACTCGCAAGCTCAAATGTACACGGCCCCCCCCCCCCCCGTCAACCCCTGCAACGCGCGCCCACCCCCGACTAACATAATTCACCAGGTGACGAGCAGAAACCGGTTTGCGCACAATGTCGCAAAGGTGGCCGAGAATGTCGGCCCAGCGAGGGCATCGTCTTTCGCCATCAGCAGAATGCGTCGATGAACAATAGCGAGCAACAGACACCAGAAGGCCGGGGGGATTTGAAGGGGTTCTACTCATATAAGAACACATTTGACAAGGATAGTGTGTGGTTGGCGGTTCCGAAACATGGTATGCACATTATTTGCGTCTAGCTCAACTTCCGGGGCGCATAGGGGCTGATCACATGTCAGTTATATTTGTCGATAATTCCGACCCGTACGCCGAAGATCTCGAGATCGCAGAGTCCAGTGCGATCGCGCTGGCCCAGGCCCGCAATGCGCGATGGGGCAGTGGCTCTAGGACTAGCGATGCAGACTCACATGGCTTGGAGGCCCTGTCTGCAGTCGCAAGCCACGATCGCTTCCCATACTCACCCATGGCCCAGTCCGTCTCCGACAGCCTCTCATATCCTTCTCCGAACCATCCGCGAAGCAGTGCCATGCCTCCTCCCGCATCGCCATCTATCTCCATATCCGCCAGTAGCAATAACACAAATATCAACTTTCTCCTGAACCCATCACACTCGCTATCGCCCGTCGACCCATCGATGACTCCCGATCAAAGAAGCGCCTCGCTACCATCACGCCCGGCCACGTTATCAAGGTCTGTTGCGGAAAAAAATATGGATAGCCATGCCGAGACGGACTGGGAGATCGCATTTCTGTTGCGCCATTATACCGAAGGGCCAGGGTTATGGTACGTCGCCAAATCAACTTCGATGCCTAGATCTCAAGTTAACAATGCTTCAAAGGATGGATTTGTTTGACCTCGGTACATATTTTGCATCATGCGTCCCAGTGCGTGCGAGGTCGAACCCCCTTCTCAAATACGCCGCATGCGCATATGCGGCAAAGCAATTAGGTCGAGTCAAGGGCGCAAAGGCCAAGATGGGCGGCGTATGCTCTCGGCAAGCGATCATGGAGGTATGGCACGATAAAGACACTGATTTTGCTTGGCTCGGGGCGAAGTATTATGAAAAGGCTATTCAGCTGTTGATGAAAGAGCTTCAACCCGATGCAGAGGCTCCGCCTCCACTAAGCACGCCAGAGGCGTTTGGACAGTGGCAGGCGAACGAGCTTTGCGATGACACAGAATATCCGCGTAAAAGACGGCGACGGGTCTCCAATAGTAGACTATCGCGGGGAGTTCACTCGGATGAAATATTGGCGGCGACGGCAATCTTGTCAGTCTATGAATTTCTCGATGCAACGGGTCCTGCATGGAGTCGCCATTTGAGTGGAGTCAAGTCTCTGCTAGATGTCACTGAAGTGGGGATTATGCCACTAGAGCACCATTCATCGGAGGGAGACAGTCCATATCAGTATAGGAAGTCTCGTCTCTCCAGAGCACGGAAGGCGGCGTTCTGGAATTTTGCCCGACAGGACTATCTGGCTGCATGTGAGTCCACTATTCTTACAGTCCGGTCATTTCTTGTACATCTTGCTAATGCTTGCCATCAAGTCATCAATGAGTGCCACACAAGGCTGAACACAGAAGACATCGTGCTGTGGACTGAAGCCGGGTTGCTGATTGACCAAATGGGCTTCGTGCAGCCCAGCAACTTGGGTGAAGCAGGGTACCCGGAGGGCAACGACGTAATGAAAGAAGACCAGATTTGCAACGCGCTGGTTTGGATCATGTCGAAGATCGTCAACCACATTAGCTCAGGTGACAACCTCAATACGAACGACACCAGGTCTGTAGATAGTGGGCCCCTCGGTGTCTCCCAACAGGCCATGCTTGAACGATGGTACAGACTCGAGGCTGAGCTGGACACATGGTACAGCGGTCTGCCAGACACATTTAAGCCTTGCGTGCGGATCGACCCGTCCCGCATCGCCCATTACCGCCCTGTCGAAGAAGCAAAGGACCTCACGACACTGCAAGAAATCTGGCACAGCATACCAATGTGTGCATCCAGCATGCAGCACTACCACATGGCTCGTATCCTGCTGTTAATCAACAAACCGCACGAATCGACTTCCCGGCGGAGCACTATCACATTGCGGCTGCAGTCGTATCGGTCCATCGAGGCCGAAATCGGATTCCATAGTCGCGAGATCTTGGGAATCGGGCTGGCGCGGCCGGACGGTGGCGTCAGAATCAATTCTTTGCAGCCGCTCTTTGTTGCAGGCCAGTGCCTGACCGATGCGCGCGAGCGTCGCACGGCGATTCGATTGCTGCGTGCAATCGAGGCGGACCTGGGATGGGCGACCGAGTATCGGGTGCAACAGCTGCTGAAAGAATGGGGGTGGGAGGAGAGTTTCCCGCACTCAATGGCAGGGACTTGAGAAAAATCTCATCTGTAGTGTATTGAAATGTTCAAGACACACACTTCTGCTACCCATCGAACCGACTTGTTGTTCAAATCACGCAGTCATTCTTCTCAGATTGACTCTCGGTACCTTCCGTCAGTCGACAGAAGGCATCCGACGATATTGAATGACAAGTCTGTCATGACTCTTGCCAGTTACGGCATTACCTCCCGAGCACATCTGACCTGCACAGGCGGAATATAGAGCTAGGCTCGACATCGCCAGAATACCGCCAGAGAGCTTGATCACTCAAGATCAATTGTGCAGCTAAAGCCCACTTTTCGTCTCTTTAGCGGCGAACATAACGAGCGACGAGTATATTGATCATGTCATCCACTCTAGTCCACTAGGGACTAACTTTCTTATTAGTAATTAATAGAAGAAGAAGCGGAAGAACAAACGGAAACGATATGGGGAAGAAGAATAAATTAAGAACTTGGACGATAAAGGCTTTTTACAACGTAAACAGATTTAAGAAAAAGGTCGGAAAAAAATTTCTGTAGTCCAAGGCCCGTATTTAAATCTCGCTAGTAATTGAGCTTGTTATGTCTTTGACAGACGTTTTCGCTCGGATTAGTTTCCTTGGGTGGGACTGGAGTTGCATCATTCCCGAGCCAGTAGCATGTGGAAACCAGTTTGGGTTTACTGTACAGGTCCTTGATCAGCGATCGGGATTGCACATCCTTCAAATTAGGTAGGTTTCTCTTAATGAGTGGGGCTCCTTTATCTCGACTCTTGAATTTCGGGCCTATTCGGGGAGGTTTGTGCTACTCGGTGCCCGGTTGGCTGAGGGTCTATTGAAATAAGGGTGATAATAACGACGCGACAGAAAGTCGACAGCTCAGCAACCTGCCCAAGCTGTGCTCAAGTCTTCCACGCTGGCACTGTATCTGCCCATGCCAAGGTCCGGAATTACGTCGACAACTGCAACCAGTTCTCCGTCACCTGCTTGACTTATCTACCTTAGTTCGATTCTAAGCTGACCGTGCCTCTCGAATGCGACCAATACAAGGTTTCACCAATCCCCATCAGAGGTTCATGGCACGACAAGGCTATCCTAAAGAGGAACGTCCTCCATTCAATATAAATTGCTACATTCGAGATTTACAAAAATGGATGTATGATTGGTGACTGCTGGTTGGCAGGTTGATGCACATGGAGGAGCAACCGAGTAAGCCCCATCACCCGTTAATGGCGTCACCTGATTGGATCGTCCTACCTGCCCCACACTATACCATTGTCGAAACTCTCGAGTCTCTGTCAGCTTCGTCCGTGAACTGCTACACAAGCCAATAGCCAATTTTTCAGGTTTACACAGCTCTATTACGCCCCCAGACACCCTCCCCGTCCCTACAATGCCTGAAGATTGGGCGCATATTGTTTTCGATGCCCGGCTCTCGAGTGGTGAGAGGGCAAAAGTCAACAGTACCCTCCGCGAGAGCCTTCAGCATACAATGAACTGTCACGACCTTGTTTATGGACCAATCCGCTGTACTACCGATTTTTTGACATTCGCGCATATTTCAAACCTCCCGCTTGCTATTCACGGGGAGGTCGATCGATTTTTCGCGCAGGCAATCGATACAGCAAAGGCTACAGGCGGCAAGCTCCTGGTTGTTATGAATGGGTGGGACGGTCTTACTACCGATCCAGGCTCTTTTATGGGCATGTTCCGAGCCAGTGCCTCTAGCATAACAATTCGAGTTTTTGCTGAAGTGCCGCGCTCATTTTGGCAAGTCGACGTCGAGCAGGCGATCAAGGTCTTTAATGGGACCATTCGCATCAATCCTTACCTCGAGGGACTCATGCCCCACGACCCCTTTGACGCGGAAACACAAGAGCGATTTCGCCTTGCAGAAGCCCAGCTGGAGCACTCGACTGCTTGGTTCTGCCGCGAGCTGCTCTTGCAAGCCATCAAGATGGACTATGCGAGCGTCAAACAGGCGCTACAGAAGAAGCACAGTAAACAGCAAAACACGGACCCGGATATGACTACGGTGGACTATAGGGGGGAGAAGGCCATAACCCTGAATTTCTTAAAGACTATCAACCGCTTTTCTAACCCCCTGTTCATGCTGACTATATCACGAGATAATCGGCGAGGTTGGCTAGGAAAATGTCCAGGAGAACCTCCAGGAAACCCTCTAGAAAACCCTCCAGGAAAACCTCCAGAAACCCCTCCAGAAAACCCTCCAGTGGATCTGATAAGACTAGCAACTAACAGAGAGAAAAGAGAGAAACACACAAACTAAGCCCAAAACGCAAGCACCTCGTTCATCACGCGATCAAGACCGAACTTGTCCGGGTACATCAGCCAGTTGTAGGCCAAGATTCCAATCAGCCAGCTCTGCGCATCGTTGAAATGAACACAAAAGTGGCCTTCAGTCGGGGGGCTTATTAAACACAACCGCTTTTCTTCCTCCCGAAATCTCTTCGCCATAGGCCCCACGACGTCTTCTAGGTGGTCCGTCAGTGCTTAATCGGCTATTTCCATATTAACAACGTCTATGATCAGACCCTGCTTAGCTAGATGTTCCAGCAACTGGCTAACCTGTTGCATCCGGGCTGTCTGCTAGGAAATAGTGGCTATCGCCTGGTCTTGGAGGTCCGGAGGTCCACGGCCCTCAAGAGCGAACTGACACGCAGGTGCAAGGGTGCAATAGTCGAGCGCGCTCTTTAGCGCCCGAAAGTCTTTCAGGTAGTTGTCTATAACCATAGCTTTCATATCGATACCAGTGCGAACTCTCACCGGGCTATCTCCCGATAACGCCTGCGCTGGTTCCCCCCTTGACTTATCCTGCGATGAATTCTTCCCCAAACCCTCCGGAAGGAGGTCCACGATTGCAGAAGTGACTCGTGATGATCACCCGGCCTCCACAAACTACCAGCGCGAATGTGTGGAATGTAGGCTCAGACATTTTCGAACAGGTGAACAGCTCTGTATTCGAACAGCGAGTGATCTTGGAGGTTTATGCTTCGGCGGGATGGGCCTTCGACTGCAAAGAGCTGTTCGCCTCTAACCTCTCCGTGCCCAGCATAGTGAATCAGAACGATGGATTTGCCGGGTGCGTTTGGTGCGAGTCGGAAAATGGACCGAATTTTATCGTTAAGTGTCCATCCCGGGGTCTGATCCTGTTCGGCTAGGATCTCGACTTCAGCTTGGTCGAGATTAAGAGTGCTCAGGATTGCCTGAAAATTTTCGGTGTCCATGGAAGCATTCGTGTTATCTCGCTCCCATCGAACACTGAGTGCGAAAGAGTTATTGTATGTTCTCACTGAGAACTAGGGCACCTAAGTACCCGAATTCCCTTCTTCCTCGTTCTATTTCGCATTGCCTGGTTATTCCTGGGCAAGCGGGCCGCTCACCAAGAGCGTAAGGCCCTGAGGCATCTATATAATCATTATCCCATAAATTTAATTAAAATTATAATAGAGTCCTTATTGGTAATACTTTCGAGCTAGTCCTTAAGTTAATCTAATAAAGACGGCGATTTTATAGCTATAATCTTCTATATGATTTACTTAACAACTTCAACAGTTTCCTAGACTGTTTCCTAGACTGTTTCCTAGACTGTTTTCAAGATAGTTTCTAGGAGCATTTCTAGGAGAATTTTCTAGAGAATTTTCTATGAGGGTTTTCTGGAGGGTTTTCTGGACCTATTTCTGGACCGATTTCTGGACCGATTTCTAGACCGTTTTCTAGACCGTTTTCTAGACCGTTTCCGTCACCCGGTTTTCGAGTAGCGAGCGGGCGAAGGTCAACACTACCTTACGCGATAGTCTTAAGCATACTATGAATCCTCATAAGTGTTCATGAGATAGTCAGATAGTTAGTTAGCCAGTTATGCGACTGGAGTTTGATAGATTTCTTCTCCTCTCCCTCTCAAAATCTTACCTTCTTCACTACCTCCAATTCTTCCTTTCTAGCCTACGTCTAACAATGAGCTTATTTACGGACCAGTCAGGTATACCACTGATTCTTCGACATTTACGCATATGTCAAATCTACCGTTGGTTATTCATGGTGAAGTCGATCGACTCTTCACACAGACGATAAACGCATTGAAGGCCATAGGAGGTAAGCTTTTCAGTACATCGTGATGAATGGCTAGGAGGACTGACTACCGACCTAGGCTCGTTTATGGGCATGTTCCGAGCCCATGCTTCCAGCATAACAATTCGCGTTTTGGCTGAAGTACCGGGCTCTTTTTGACAAGTCAATTTCAAGCAGGCAATTCAGGTCTTTAAAGGGTCTATTCGCATCAAACCTTACCTCGAGGTACTTATGTCTTACATCCCCTTCGATGCAGAAACAGAAGAGCGATTCTGCCGCGAGCTGCTTTGCTTGCAAGCCACCATGATGGACTATGCAAGCGTGAAACAGGCGCTAGAGAGTCATAGTAGACAGCGAAATACAGACCCTGACATGACTCTTGCGCTCGATAAGTGGAAATGCCCTGAACCAAACTGCGGCAAAGCATTCCCTGAATATGACACCTACTGTGCCCACCGACGTATACACATCGGTGAAAGCACCCAATTCCGGTGCAGCCATTGCAACCAGGCTTTCACACGCAAAGACACCCGGGATCGCCATCAAAACAAAACATGCTTGAAGCGACCAGGCCAAGATGAGAGTCTCCCTGCAGCAAAAAGGCCCAAAGCGGCACGTGGAAGCCTACCCACCAAGATTCTAAAGGGCATGCCGCGGAACTCTGATGGGTCAACGGACTACTACGGGCTCAATGCAGAGCAGATCCAGGCGATGTCCCGGCTGGAATTCGATCCCGACGTCCTTTCCTCACTCCCAATGAGCCATGAAAAGTGTGATGTGATTTACAAAGGCGAACTTTACTACCGGTGGCCTGGATGTAAGATCGTCACCAAATACGTCAGCACCAGCAAGCTACGCGTCCATTACGCGAACTCCCACTGCTATGAGTTTTCTGGATTCACATCTGGAACTTTGGATAAGCGTTCGCAGCAAAAGCATATAGAAGGTTTTCTATGGCTTACCAAGGCTGCATTACATGGAGTGGAGAATGCTGGAGAGAAACCTTATCCCGAGGCGCAGTCGAGGTCCGACCGTGACCGGCGAGACAGATTGCGAGACCCCCATCGTATCATACCAAGTTATGGATCGCTCTACTCCTACAATAAAAGTTCTTTTCAGAGTTCTTTTCGAAGTTCTTTTCTGAGGTTTTTTGTGAGGTCTTTTGTGAGATCTTTAAAAGCTATCTACTTCACCTAAATATACAGAGATCCTGGAGAGGATGGAGAAATAAAGTCCACGTAAGGCTCGCGTAAACAGTCGTTGACGATACTAGCAAGAAGCCTTTTTATACAGGTTTATGCATACATAAGTGCTGCTGTAGCTGTGCCGTTCACGTAGAACTCTCCGGTAACAGATGTTGCGTGTTCGTTCGAGATACTTTGATCAGTGCAGTACAATGCAAAGAAAGAGGGAGAACCTTGTAGGGACAGCATATCCTGGGGGAGCAAGTTCCCAACACGTCTGTTCCCCTAAAGCAGTCTTCTAGACTGAGTGATGATAGATCGCCAACAAGCAAGTATAGTCGAATATGTTTCAACGTAGAAACGGGAATTTTGATCGTTAAAGTTATGCCGACGACATTCACATACGAACTTGCCATAAGATCATTTGATTCACTGATTATGCACGAGCTACACTCAATGAATCTCCTTGCTCATATGGACCCTCTAGGTTCGACAACAACTACGGTTGGGAATTGGAAAAAGGAGGCTGATTGTAGCTGGGGTCCGGTTTCGACGAATGCAGGACCGAATCTTATGGGTGAACAAGGATTGTCGGAGTCTGCACGACATCTTACTCTTGATGCACATGGTTGGCTCGAGACTCCCTCCTCATTGGTGCAACTTACGGTCACAATCAACATTAAATGCGAGAGCCCTAAGGTTGTGCTGCGCCTTTGGGAACTTACTCCCGGAGAATATGGTGTCCGTACAAGGCCCTCCCCTCTTTCTGCGCATTGTACTGCATTGATCGAATCCCGAGTTTGGACTTGCAGAAGCTCTTGATGACGACGTTCCAAGGCCTTTCGAAAGCTTTGAAGTGTGGTGAAAGGCTGCTGCTTTAAACCCTTCCCCGATTGTGCAAAAGGATCCTGAACTTTGGGCTCAAATGACGAGAACTCTGAAGATCGGAGCTCAGACGGTGAAGTCTGAGACGCGTTCGAGGTGGGTCAAGGGATGTCCATGGTGGGTGGGTGAGATGGTGAATTAAGCAAGTAAGTAGGTAGGCATCTAGAAGAAGCACCCAGCGACTGATAAATTGCGGTGACATGTATCGAGGACCGCTGAAGGTGAACCATGGGTAGTCACGCCATATAGGGCTCACGTATATACGTCGCACGAGAACGTGACCACCGACCTTACGCGAGTCCAATCAGAGCAGCGGATGCGCGTACCACTCGTTGACATCAGCTAGAGATGATATAGTTAGACTCGGTAGGTAACTTATAAATTTCGAAGGTAGCATCTTGTGTTGAATTGGGGGGCCGGGTGCCTTATTAGCACCAAGCCTTATAGTGCCATGAACTTTTCTGTTATGTCGTTAATGCCACCCTAAACAAATGCCAACCACATGGTTGCTTTCTGTTGGATGGATTATAAGCCACCGAAGGCGTTCATTTGATGTTAAACTTTGCCTACGTAGGTTCTTGAGTGCCTCATGGCGGACATACTCAGCGTACCAAATGAGGTAGAATCCTAAATTGGCTTCATGGATTATGATCTAGATTACGTAACAAATGACATGGGGGTTTGGCGCAGCGGTAGCGCGTGTGATTCCAGTCCACAAGGTCGTCAGTTCAAATCTGGCAACCCTCAACTTTTGTTCTTTTTTTTTTTTTTATCTTTTTTGCGTCATTAATCATTTCACGCTCTGCTAAGCTTTTCGGATGTAATTTCTTAAGTCTTTGAGATAGAGGTAGAGACAATCTAGCTAGGTCTTCCATGCAAGTAGAATGTCCGTGTTACTCACAACTCACAAGGTGGCTGCGGAAGAAGTGCGAACGAAGTAAGGCTTCGGGATACCTTCCGCCACGTGGGGCAAGCGCATATCAGTGGAGAGTGTGGGCATGGCGGTGACGACGTGGGAACAGTTGGCGAACTTGGGCTATGGAAGCTGACCTTAGTCGAGTCTATGAGGGCAGGCATACAAGGTTATTTTAGTTTCGTAGAGAGTTATTATCATGTGGTGGCCAGGGTACTGTCGCTACTTCAAAAATATCTGGGAGGGATACAATTTCATAAGCTTCCCTTGGCCATGGGGATGCTGACACGGCCTGGGAGTTCTACAACAGTATTTGTCAAATCTCATGACCTTTGTTTGGTATGTTGATTGTCCTCAAAACATGGCGGTTGTGTTATCATAGCTTTGGTCTCTCTAAAGTAAGGAAATACAGCATATGCATGTAGACACCTGAACTAAGGATCACTAATTTGACGCTGGGTCATGTGATCGTCGGAATGTGGCGCAGCCAAGACTCACGCGGGATGCTGTCATGTGACTATCACATGACGCAGCCTCCAAGCCGAACAATGAAACCATACAAAGCTTGCATTATGGCAAAGGGGCCGGAATTTCTTGCCCCAAGCGTCCTGTTAATCATTCTGTTGGTTGATTTCATCAGTAAGAGAAAGTCGTCACTGTGGAACCAGAGGACTAAGAAAGTGGTGGGTGGAGTTGACCTGCGACTAACCGCTGGCCGGTGGAGCATCATAAAAATGTTCAGAAATTTTCAAAAAATTCATGAGGGCTGCCAGATTTGAACTGACGACCTTGTGGACTGGAATCACACGCGCTACCGCTGCGCCAAGCCCCCTGATTCACATATAAAGAGTAATGATTAACATATAACACCTTGGCCACAGTTTATGCACAGCTTTCTAGGAGCCAATCGCAACCGAGCGGTAAGACCGCGATTGCAGTTCTTTCAGAGGTCTGCGGTTCGGAACTCTCTTATTTGGGCGCGCGGTCCTCAATTTCCTCTTCAGGAGAACTTGTACGCAAATCGACTTACAATCCCCTCGCTAACAGTAGTAGATTGAGTACCGCCTAGAGGTTTTATTCGCAAAATTCCATCATTAGTCTCGATCTCCTGGTCTTTAGTTTTATTTAGCCAGGGTCGTTGAATAGTGATCTAGAGTCATTCTAGTAAAATTGTCGTGCGAATTAACTTAAGGAGCCTCGGCCTTAGGATGGTATGCTTGGTCTTATCATCGACTTATTGATCGTGCATATAATACTATTTATATATGCGGGTTGGCAACTCTTGTTATTAATAACGTTCGATTGAGGATATCATCCTTAGGCATTTAGTCAATTAGGCTAACGATAGAGACTAGTGCGTAAAACATTTGAAGGAGATATATAAGGGAGGTTCCACCAGTTTTTTCTACATTTTAGCTCCAGTAATCCTAATAGTCAGTAAAGCCGAATTAAATCCAATCGTTTCGGCGCGGGAAATTACACTTCACAAAGGGTATATAGGATATGCTAGATTGTATAGAGGAAAGTATGCCTAAAAATGAGATTCTGCCGGTTCTTAAATTACGGACAAAGGGTTATGGCCTTCTTCCCCCTATGGTCCGCGGTAGACGCCATTAACGGGTGATTAGGGCTTACTCGGGTGCTACTCGATGCCCATCAACTCTGCCAACAAGCAGCCACCAATCAATGATCTCAAGTATTCAATTTCGAATGCCCCTGAAACTACAACGCAAAGCAATCATCACACATCAAGCACAAACTTCTATATAAAAAACAATAGTACTTAATTAATCCCACTTTGCTCCAACCCCGCCTTCAACGCAAGCTCCAGTCCATCCGCCGTCTCCTCGGGCTTACTCAAGAAACCGGAGTGCGACGCATCGACGTGGAAAGTCACCGGGTTACCTAATGTCTGCGCAAACCCTTCCTGGACAACCAATGGCAGAGCAGCATCCTTGTCGCAGAAGAGGTACGTAGACGGCATCTCGTGCCAGGGTTCAAAGGTAGCTGGCTCCAAGAAGGAGGGCTTGGCGTGTGGCTTTAGCTTGGATATGGCGGTTGCTTGGGCTTCTGGGGTCATGTCATGATAGAAGACTGTTTCTTGCTGGGAAGAGCGGCAGTAGCCATCATCGGGGTCCTGGTTGTGATTGTCAGTAAACGGGATTTCATGTCGATATTTGTCTGTCTTTTCAATAGGCCAGATAGGTGAATAGTGGAGGCACATACGTTTAGAAGCATCCATGGAAGCCAATTTCCTCCCAGCATATCAATGACAGACTTGCCCTTGGGCGTCACGAAAGCAGCCAACCATACAACCATAATTACACCACCAGCCTGACCAGCATTGGACCTTTGTGCATACCCAAGACCCTCGACGGCCCCTGAACCAACCATACCACCGTACGAGTGAGTCACCACGACGATTTGACGCCCCTGCTCGGCCAACGCTCGGAGGACAACGTTGGTATGGGCGATGTCAGCATGGAGTCCGGATTTGGTTGGCTCAGCTGCGCCGACAGAGGGCAGTGCGATGGCTTCGGAGTCATAACCGCGCTTGCTCAGGAGCGCGCGGATGCCATCGAAGGTGTCGGGAGTGTGCCATGCACCCGGCACAAAGACATAGATTGGAGAGTTCTTGACAGCCATTGTCGTTCAAAGTTTATACGTAAGTATCAACTAGTTGTGATGCGATGACTCGGAAGGGCTGGAAAGATTGCCAAAAACACAGACAATTCAGATACAGCAGTCGAAGGCAAGTAGCGGCGATGGCGACAAATTAAAAGGGGTAGGAACCATTGAAGCTCGCACCTCGACGGCAGTCCATGCAGACCAGCGACAACGGCGCCCCCACCAAACCTCCGACAAGCTGGCAATTCACTCAAGCCCGTTCGAAGTTTAAAGCCAATCCAGTCCATTCGAGACCTCTCCTCGGGGAGAACAATATTGCCAGTCCTCCAATCCACATTCAAGTGGATAGAGCAAGCCTAACTCTTGGACAAATCCCGAGAACCCGAAAGCCACCAGAACGAGCCTCCTATCAAGCATCATAAACGTGGCGATCAGTCGCACCAGATATGCAGCTACACACAACCAGGACCTAGTGTTGATCCCGTCCCAGCCGGAGGTTGTCCGGAGCCAACGGCGTGGCAGGCACTGGCTCCACATAGCGACCACAAAAAGATGATCTAGGGCAGGCACACGAATATAGTTCGGTCTCGAATCAAAAAAGTTGTTCGTATTCTCGCGTGCTCATTTGCTGAGCGGCTCTGTCTCCACTACTTGCCGTCTTTGACAGGAGTCAAATTGGCCCCAAACGGCTTCCTGATCAGCGGTTTTCTCAAGGCTGCCAGGGGGTGGAAGCTTGTAAGGGTCTGTCGTTGAAAGGATTCACGGAAAGCTGAATTAATTTCGATGTTGAGAAACTCAATATATGGTGTGGGTTTGTGGGCCAGCCAGTTTTGCACGATTTATAATTTTTTCCTCATTCCCTGCATATTTCGGCAGGGAAGCATGCAGTAGGTTAAAGAGCCTATTTCGACTTCTTCATTGACTTTGGCTATAAGCGGACCATAGCATGGTGACCACCAATATTTATGAGAGTCGTCAAGGCGAGTATCGGGCGGGAACAATTTCCATGACGGCCCTGGGTGTGGTTTTCGTCGTTCTGCGATTTTTGGCTCGATGGAAGAAAGGCCTCAGCGTTGGCGCTGATGACTACGTGATTCTGCTTTCGTTGGTAACTTCAAAGCCTGTTCGTGTCTTTTGAAAACCTTCGGACTGACCGGAGGGTTTCCTTTTCATTGTTGTCCAGTTGTTTCTGTTCGCGACCTGTGCCCTTAATTTGGCGAGTAAGACAGCTCCCTTGGTATAGTCGATGCATCGCAAATGACTGACATATCCCAGTGATTCACTATGGCATGGGGCGACACGCAGATGTTTTGCCTGCCGAGAATATCGTGATAATCGCCAAGGTTCGAATCAAGAAAGACAAGGTATACTCTCGAATCAAGACTGACGTTCATTAGCTGCTCATGTGTTTCGAATGCGTATACTGCACAACAGTAGGAATCGTCAAAATTTCTATCCTGCTTATGTATGCTCGTATATTCCCCACGAGAGGCTTCCGCATTGCCTCGGTTATTCTGAGCAGCATTGTCGTCGGATGGGTTATCGCAATCATCTGCGTGAGCGTATTCCAGTGTAACCCGATCGCAAAGGCCTGGAACTTTGCCCTGCCAGGTGCTTGCATCAATCTCAAGGGCTCGTTTATCGGGAACGCAGTGCCAAATATCCTGACAGATATCGCCATCTTGGCTCTGCCGGTACATGTTGTCTGGGGCTTGCATGCGACCGTGACGCATCGGCTATCGGTGATTGCCATATTTCTGCTGGGCAGTTTGTTCGTCTCCCTCAGCCCGCGAAGCGAAATGACCTCAAGACACGGGCTGTACTAACAACCACCTCTTTTTCCACAGTGTCATCTTCACCAGCGCCTACCGCTTCTCCACCCTTTTCGAGTTTGAGCCCGCCGACACTCCCTGGACCCTAGCCAAGGCGTGCACCTGGTGTCTCATCGAATGTTCCAGCGGCATCATATCAGCCTGCATGCCCACCCTGCGCCCCTTATTCGTCATGCTATCCTCGAAATTTGGGAGCTCAACCGGTACCCGCACGCGGACAACTGGTGTACAAGGCTCCGGCCTCAAGAGTTATGACGTGAGTGGCTCGGCCTTACGTCCACCGGGTGAGTTTCTGGGTAGACAAAAGGTGCAGTTGGAGGTCAGCCAGCGGGATGATGCGTCAGGGGATGAAGTGCCCCTGAATACTATTCGAGTGCAGCACGATATGACATGGCAGGAGACGAACTATGGTTCTTCGCAACGATGGAATTGAGGATGCATGCCATGCATCTGCTGAGCTGTGGTCATAACGTATATTAGTTACATCATATGAAGGAAGGAAGCTTCTTGATCAGCCTGTTTAACGAGTAAACTGGGGTATCTTATCACGCAACCGAGTCAGTTAGCAGATTCTCACCAGCAACTTAGGCTCCTCCTCAGCAGATAATTTCCTTCGAATGTCGATCGCATTGTGGCAAGTAATTGAAATTTCCCCACGAGCAGGGTCAATTAGACAAGCAGAAAAATGCTCTCGAGAGAAGCTGCCCTAGTTATATCTTCCTCTGGTAAATGAAGGAGACACACCCCAGGACCGATTCAAACAATGAAGTTCGTTTCAGATTGACAATCAAGCTGCAGACCCCTTGAACGCTGCCTTGTCTCACCGCACGGTTCGACTTGATGCTCGATGCCTCGAAGCTCGATTTCGATCTGTCGAGCGATCAAGCTAGGTAACTAAGCTTTGACGATGCTGATTAATCATAACAGAAGAATCTGTTAACTAAGCTACTAGCTGCAACCAAAGAAGAGCTTGGAGGTGTCGGGCAGTCATTCAGCACTCTGACTAACCATCAGGACTGTTAAGCTAAGAGTTTTATTTACCTTTTGACTTCAACATTTCCATCACAAATACAGAAATTGATACACCGTCAGAACACTCGAAGCCCCCAGAAAACCATTGAAAAACAAAAACAATAGAACTCACGCAAAATACATGAGCCCCAAAGTATCGACCCCACGATGATGCAAATGTGAACTAAACGAATCAGAAGACTTGCTCAAAAAAGCAAAAAGCACTAATGCTGCACGAATTCGATCAAGCGAAATCCTCCCCTGCCAGGAAATGATTTTAATCACATGGGTACAACGATATCACAACGAACCTCGGCGAGTAGCGCGGGGATAAGGTTTTATCTGGCAGCTACACCCGCTAGTCCCTGCGATCCTTGCTACATTGGTCGCCGGTCATCCACCCTCTACTTGCTAATTGGTTTGCATTTCGTGAATCCACCTGAAAAATATCAACTTGATGATTGTTTGACATCGCATCGTCCTGAAAATCCTAAGCTAAGATCTCTAGCTAATGGCAAGGCCATCCTAGTTAGGCAAACAGTGTCATGCTATGTCGACGGGGTCTTTTCAAACCCCGCAAATCCCGGTAGCTGGATGATCAAGAACCTGTGGGAAGCACATGCCAACGTACCGGAAATACCTCACTGAGTCCATAATCACTTTCATGATCATCGTTCATGGCAGGATGTGCCGATGGGATCCGGCGGGGATCGTTAACGGACAGGCTGTCGTTTCGATAGATCGGTCAAGTGGAGGATAAGAGTACGGAGTCCGGAGTAGAGTCACTGGTATCTACCTATTTTGCAGTTTTGCTTCCACGTAGCTTAACTTCTTAGAAATGTAGAGCCTTGTAAGCTGCAGTGGTGGGACGACTTGACTATTCCGGCCTCGTGCATCCGCGGCACTCATGCCATCAGCCCTGAATCCTAATCTCTAATCTACCCCGCCTTGTCGGCCTCGGCCGTTAAGTCTTACAACATTCCCGAGGCGGGGGCCATCTAGATCTTGAGGCTGGATCCGCTTCCCCATGGGGTGACTCGGGATGTATAGGAGTGGTGGACATGTGTAGGTTGGTCGGGGTTTGGTCAATGACTCATGACATAGCTTACACCTAGTACATCATACATCTTGGAGAACGGATTGAGAGATTGGGCTGGGATCTTCGAGAATTCCGGTTTCCAGCGGTGGTCGTTTCAAAGGTTGTTGATTTTCGGCCGATGGGGGCCAAGAACCGGTTCATGGCTGGAGTTTAGGTGGATGGACCAAAGACCTGACATTGTAATCGCGGGGGTGGCGAGACCCTCCCGGGGAGAAAGGGACAATTGAGATTGACTGGCAGAGGGAATTGTTTGGTAGATTCCTCAGTGACGGGGACTTGGGCAGAGCAATATCTCGACCCGATAATTTTCCACCTTTAGTACATATTATAGCATGGCATACGACACGAGGATGTGTGTACGGTTAGTCCATACAGTTTCACACCACCCTCAAAAGTCCTATAATCTCAAACAAACCCCCTCCACAAAGCAACAGTAGCGAACAAATCCTCGCAAAATTACCCGTCAAAGAGCCAAACCACTTTAGTATCTATGATCTGGCACTATGTACGTCGAATCTGCTCCGTACTGTAACAAACCCCGACCCTGGACCTCTTCCCTAACTTCGCTTCGCCTAACGGCTTTCCAGCGGATCCGACAACAGTCACCCGGCAAATCCCAGATCTCGCGCCGCCCATCATCAAGCCCAGATTTCAATAAGCCTAGCGCACGCGTATGCTCATTTCCCCGCCTCCCTCCAAGACCCATCCTACCGAACTGTACTTGTACTCTGTACTCCGTGCGAAACACGAATTTCATACGGGTCCCCTGCAGTCAGTCCAAAAAGCGCCCCCAACCACGTCGAAAAAAGTACCACGCCCCCTCGTGCTGACACGGGTCTCCGGGTCTCCGGGTCTCCTAGGAGGCTAAGACTACCCCCTAACAGGGCAAGTTGGCCGTTCCTGCATGAGAAGGTGTGTACGGGGGGCAAACCTGAAAGCCACCCAACGTTGCCAGACCGTGTGTTTCAGGGCACGCGAGCCTATCAGCTGCCGGGCTGGGGACAGAAATTGGAAGGGTTCTAGATCGCTTAACCACATTTTTGGGACGGCCCATTGTGTGGTTGGCTTTGGCGCTAGAGCCTTGTTGGGCTGCTGGCCGGGTGGCTTGGGGCTTGGCTTGGAGAAAGGAATGTATGCTATTGTGTGGATTGTGGAAGTGAATGGGAAAGACTGGGAAATGGATAATACACACAGTGGTTACTGTAGACGGGATGGGCTGGAGATAAGTTACACTGTATACTAAGTAAACCTCTGGACAAAGATAAAGTGGCAGCGGACTCCGCAGAATGAACAAATTACCCCGTGACAGGGATTGCATAAGTATAGGGAAGTTGAGACTATCTTATTGGTTCGAAGTACTGCTTTCTTCTTTCTTGATCATGTGTTATAATCCTATTGTGCGGGCGCAAGCTAAAGCATTGTTCGTGCACCTGCTTATGACCCTGGTTTCTGCAGCCTTCCAGGTATAATAATTGTCGTGCGTACATATTCACAGACCGGTAAGAAGCATACGAAAAACTAGCGGGCTAGTACAGTACTGCACGGTCGCATGCAATAATATTTAGTGGGACTATCGTTGAGGCTGGGCCGATTCTGAATCTCCCCCTACGCCTTGCGGGTCAATTTGCCGTGTCTGTCCCGATGGGCGATCGTCATCGACTACTCCGTAGTTAGGCCAGGATTTGATCCGCCCACAATGGAGCCTGGACAGATTTCGGTACTTCGTAGGGACCACACAACATGAGACACAGATCTCCACCGAGTGTTCCATCTACGTAGATGGAGTCAAGTACCGAGCAAACTAGGCACTGGAATCTCAGGGTCTGAAAAAAAAGACTTTTTCTATCTTCTCATATTAGGCCTTGAATCGCGTGGATAATGCATGATAATACAATATTGGTAACATGTGAATAACTCAAAAATAAGGAAGCAGACATTATAACCTAAACCTCGTGAGCCTGGCCAAACCTAGCACGTAGATCGTTTGGCGGGAGAGAGTGAGAAGATAGATGGTCACGTAGACCATCAAAGGAACGAGTGAGTGTGTGTAGATACTGTGTCCCGTATCCACTTGGGAAAGTAAGCGGCGACAACGAGGCAAATGAACAAGACCCTTGCCCACGCGAGACAGAAAAGAAACACCAGTCTCCCGACCCTGGACGCCATGGACCAATTTTCCGTAACACCGATAGCCTGGACCAGAAACGCACGCACGCCTTGGCACTGTAGACGGTAGCAATAGCAGGGGCAGTCACGGCAAGAGTCGTCGCTGCCTCCGTCCTGCTTTTCACCCTATGGCTCATGATTTTCCGTAAGAATCCAAGCCTGCCATCGTAACCCCCAGTCCGACCCTAACCGTTTTTGGTAAGATGAAAACTCTGTCTAATATGGTACTCGCTTCGCCCGCAGCCTAGTCTCGCCTCACCCTGCCCATGCAGGGGTAGGGATCCAGGTGACGGGCAGCGCGGCCAGCCTCGCGGCCCCACCGCAACGGCTATCAAGTATGACCCCGTGCAAAGGTGGCAGACGCATCCCAGTCACGCCCCGGCGAAGTAGGCGGCCTGGGCCCGCTGAAGCTCATCGACGGACGCGTATACCGCGCCTCCTGATGTCCGAAGTGCACATTGCGCTCAGAGGTTGGGCTAGCGGCCATCGGGCTGCGACGGCCGCTGAAGGTATGTGTCGGACTGGGCGAGCGCATCATCTGACGCGGACTAGCTGAGCGCATCATGCGGCTTGGGCTAGGAGAGCGCATGTTGTAGTTATACGGCTCGGGAGTTTTTCCTCCACCGGAAGTGGTGAGCATCTCGAAGCCCTTGTTGTCGAGGTTGCGGTGGGCGTCTGCAGACACGAACTCGCGCGGTGCCGAAAATCCACGTCGACAGATGTCGAGCCACCCGGCGAACATGGATGGTCGTGCGAACAGGATAAAATTCCAGAATCCCACGAGGGAGAGTAGATAGACTACTGCTAGAAGGGTGGCTTCGTTGGGCCCCATTGCTGATGCGTATTTCTTGCATGCTTCCTTGCCTTCGCCGACGGCAAGGCAGGTTAGCCAATTGCTAGCTTTGGCCAGATTGGCCTCGGTGAGGTTAGTGTCTCTGTCCAGCTTGATGAAGACAACGGCGAAGAAGATGACGTTTCCGATGATAATGAGGACGAGAGCGATACCGCGCCATTGGAGTTGGAGGACGCGGCGCACACGGCGGTAGGCCTGGCGTGCGGTGACGGTGCGCACGCTGCTGGTATAGCTGGGCAGGCCGGAGGAGTTTTCGGTGGTGGAGGCGGATTTGTCGAATAGTGAACGCACGTAGATGTGCATACAGTAGGCCATGGTGGCCAGCTGAAGTACTAGGGCTGCGGCCGAAAAGGCGATGAGCGGATACCAGTAGTCCTGGGAGCCGTGTTTGATGTTGATATGGCACATTTGACCGAAGCGGAAGGACACGCCCGTGAGAATCAGCATCACGGTCATTCCAACTGCAGGGATACCGAAGCCGGCCAGGAATGCTCCCCACATGAACTTGGGGCCCAGCACGAACTCCCAACACACTTGCAGGTGGAAGGCGAGGGTGCGAATGAAACTCCACATCACGACGAGCCATCCGCCGAAGAGGAGCAAAGAGCCGGAGAAGGCGCAGGAGAGGTCGCTATACATGTCATTGGGCGTGATGGCATTGTAGCATTGCTGAGGCTTGGCTCCAAGGGGAATAATGAATGCAATCTTGGGGATGCCGGTTAGTTACGCTTCTTCCTTTGCCTTTCTTCCGTACCCATCACGGTTCTAAGTTGCAACTCACCTCCATGCAGCAGATGCCCAGAGTAAAGCAGATACTCAAGTAGTGACGGTTGGTCCATTTGACAGGGAGAACGGCGTAAGAGACAAGGAGGAAGATGCAGAGAGGGAGAATGGCGACACTGATCCAACTAGCGACACCGACTCGCTTTGCGGTATCTAAAGATGTGGTCAGTATCTCGAGACTCAAGGTTGGGAGAAGGATAAGGTATAGATCACTGACTATCAGCATATCGCCAATCGGCTAATGGACAGGGTAAACAGCATGCTATGGTGGTCCCATTGGGACCTATTCCGGGAATAGGTTCGCAGAATCGTCCATCGAGAACTAATCGAACCCTAGTCAGCGCAATCCTTTTCTCCTTAGATCAATACATTAAAAGCAGCATATTGAACGTACATCCACCCTTTGCAGGGAAAAGACTCTCCTGGAGAAACGGGCCAGGGCAGTATCCGTTCGCGGTCACCATGATGGGTCAAAGGTCGTGCCAGATCGGCATATTCCTAGGTGACGCAGGGTATCTAACGCGCCAGCGCGACGAGACCAAGCGCGCACAGCCCGTAAAGGAATGTCAAGATGTTGGGATGGGCAGGTCGAAAGTGGGGAGGGAGAAGGAAAGGAGATCCAGGTGGGCACCCCCAGTATACATACTCTGGCATTATGACTGATTAGGCTCAAAGTCCAGGTCCAGATTTCGATTGGAGGGGTAAGGTAACTAACTTGTGGAGAACGAGGCATGGAGAGACAGAGGAGTGGACCCCCATGCAGAAAGATGAAAAGTACAGTACGGAGAACGAGGATTAGTTCTTGGTATTTGGATATTTTAGCGTATTGTATTCCGTACTTCAGCATACGGTAGCTTCAGATGCAATTGGATAATGCGGTAGTAGTCCAGTAGTGTGTAACTTTGTACTCCATCCGGATCACACGAAAGGGTAAAGAGCAGCAGCCAGAGTCTGGTTACCGTGGGTCTCCTGTCAGGGACGAATCCCACTGCAGAGACCCCCCGACCATCATCGTAATACACGACTGATTGTTGTGCCTCCGTCAGAAAACGACAAGGCTCATTCCCGATGCAAGTCCGCTAGAGCCCGCCAGCTGACAAGCGGGATGGACTGCGATGGTGGCGGGGGGAGGCGATTGGCGGGGCAATTTACACACGGTCCCTCAAAAAGGGCGATGAACTGAATTTGGGCGGTGCTTGGCAGGTTGGCAACACGTTTAGCGACGAGGAGAGGCCCGGGAGGAATGACCGGGGGATGCTCACCCCCTGGATTAGTGCAGCTTAGGGTCTTTCAGTCGAAGGAAATGGTGGACTGTCGTTGGTTCGGGAGGGGGAAAGACAAGACCGTCCAGTCTGGACTTCCGGCCTCGTCTTAGGGTCTTAGGCCGTGGTTTCATCGGGTATGCCAGCTGTATGGTAATTACGCTTGAGCTCCAGGCCGGTTACGCGGTAAATCCAATACCAGAGTACATGCACGGAGTACTGTACTTTTCAACACCGTGGGCCATTCTTCGTCCATGGTACACTTCCACAGCAGTTCATCAGACAATAGACGGCAGTTAGGCTTTAAACTTGGAAGCGAAAGCCCTAGCGGGCAATGATGAACGATTCATTACCATCACGGTATAGATCGGCGCTGGGGACAGGATCATTAGCCGTCCCAGCTCCATTTGAACCAGAGTTACTAAACCCAACCCCCCAACTCAATTGAAACTAATGCTCAGACTAGTACCCAATTTCAGATCGATTGAACCGCAAATGCTACCTAAGGTCCTTTAGCTAACCTTAAACTTCAACTAACGGCAAGGTTTCCACGGTCGCAAGTGGTTCTGGAAGACCACAGACCAAATTAGGCCCGCGGATCGCTGAACCACGTTTAGGCCACGTTCTGAAGGGCTTCGGCAACTTTTGTGTGCCGAGTGGACTGTATGTGAGAAGGAGACGGTGACTACTATGTACTCCGGCACAGCCAGAGAGAGAGAGAGAGGAGGAGGACTATGTTCGGAGTCGTCGTATAATATAACTTGATAGATATTTCACATTTACACTATTCCGGTCTGCCAAATATATCGATGGTGGAACGTTCGAGGATGACGCCTAGAGACCTGGCTTGATGGCTGTGCGACCTAGTAAAGTGACGCGCAATGCGACCGTGAAAATCCGCAGGGAAACGACCATGACGCAGGCAAGGAGAGAAGCGAGTGGAGGGGAAACTTTGTATAGACCGGGAAGCGAGCAGTAATGGCTTGGTGGCACAGACCACAACAGTCTCAGTAATAATGTAAGCGCTATGGACAATAGTTAGGTTACAATTTACTTTGTACGGAGTAAGAAGTACGGGTTAACTATTATGTCGATGCCTTTGTTGGTTACCAATGCCAGGGTAGCGTTAACAATGGCAATGATCATACTGTAGGTCGCAATTTCAATGTCTATCTCTTGATCTTCTTCGATCCAAATCCGAGTGTATCCCGTTTTCATGATTCAGTTCCCGTGTGAATAAATCGAGAGCGAACCTAATGTCTTTGCGTCCGTTCTTCGGGGTCCACTTTCAGCCTCGTTGAGATGAAAAGAGGAGGCGACGGCGATGAACCGCTAGCTTCAAGGGGCACACTAACAAACTAGTGCTTCCGGTCTGCCCTGATTGGTGATAAGGGGCTCGGAGATTTCGAGCCTTTTTGGGCAAATCCCCTGGCTGATCTAACCAGAATGGAGTCTCGTTTGGTTTGCCGGGGTTCTCGAAGGCGGTAGAGACTTGGTCCAGTCGAGGAAGCCTACGTACAGGGATAATTTTAGGTAGAATGGAAAGTTTATAGCCGATGGCAATTCTTCGGCTACTATGCTGATTATCATCGGTGGATATTATGATTTAATCTCCAGTAGCTTACTCCGTAGAGTGGCCATGATTATCCTGTGAATTGTAGAGTATGTACTGTGCGGATTTTGCGCAATACCACATTTCTGTACCCCGTACTTAGAACTCGTATGGAGTACATGACAGTACGGTTCTCGTCCCATTCAAAAAGCCAACATCACCAATCCAACACGAGGACAGAAAGCGATGATCTATTTACCGCCCCTCGACTCCCGCTATCACCGGGATCTACCTTTTAATTCGACCATTCACTACAGTCAACCTCGCATGCCTAGTCCAGTAATCAGCCATATAAGCTCTACAGCCCCCCTTCAAAGTTCCACAATGCTGCACAGCAGCAGAATGACCAGTGTGCGGTCGGACGGCGTGGGGATCCTCGCGCCAAATCATCCAATGACCACCGTTAGCCCGCCTCTTACTGTGATCGCTCCGGGCATTCGCTGCGCACGCGACCAATGACAGCGACCGCGGGCCTTTTCTGACGTTCAAATCAGCCCATCATACCATGACAGTTGATCAGTCAACTCTAGATGTTCTGGACTCCTCTACCATTCAACGAGGATCATCCCCGCTCGCAGCGCTGGGAGCGATAGGGCATCTCGTCATCGTGCTGCGCACACTGACCTATCCTATCACGTTTTCAATCCCGGAATAGTGTGATTTTCAACTTACTGGCTATGCCTCTGGCTAAATATAGTACAGATCACAGCGATCAGGGCTGCGGAATCGGTGATCCGAGATTGAATCGAATCAGATGGGATGTGGAAGCGCGCTGGTCATGTGTTTCTATCATCGATCATCGAGTACTAACTTCATAGGGTGTTTTACAGCATGTTGATTATTCGCTGCATCGTGCTCGTCACACAGGTCACCGAGTCTATTCACTCCATCCAGCTAGCCATCTCGTGCATCGTGGCCAGTCGGGCTTGTGCGAAAAACATGGTTTAGTGCTCGGTTGACCCTGAATGGATTTGAGGGACCTCACAGCTTGAGAGATCTCATATCTCGGGAGCTGTGTATCGCGACATCAACCACAGTAGTGAATTCCACCATGCCCAGTCCTAGGCACTGACCAATCACTCTGGCAGCCGGACCACTACTGTATTCTCTTCTATTTCTGGACGATCACTTCGTTTGCCTTGCGATGGTCGTACCTACCTAAAGACGACAATACTTACCTGTGATATTTCGAAATGATTCGATCATGAAGGCTTTGACTATCTCTGGGAGAGGGCTCATCAACTTTTTTCAGTCTTTTTTGGCCCTCTTTCAGTCTTGCTTTCAGTGCTTTCAGTCCTCTTTTCGGTCCTCCTCCACAATCCTCCTCCCAGGTCTCCTCCCAGAAGATAGGGGCAGTTCAGTAACACCTCAAAGGCTAGCCGCAACACATCCGGCTGTCAAAGACACCTACCTTACCACCGGTAATCGACATCTACAGAATCGTCGTGATCAAGACGGCCACACCACTCGTGGACCGTACTGGCGTATGGGAGCCGCCCTGCGAGCTTAAATGGTCATGACCACATCTCCTTCGCACGAGAGGTCTCCACGACAGTGACCGGTGGTCAAGGCATCGAGTCTGCTGCCGGTTATCCCTTTCATTGTATCGAGATCTTTGCCGGCTGTTTCCTTCCTCTTATTACTGATGATGCCGGTTGTTTCCAGGACCAATACTTTGATTGGCCTATATAGGCTCTTTCCTGTTTTCCTTCCTCGCAATTCTCTAACGTGACACAATCGAACCGTTCCCCCTCCTTTCCTGCTTCCTTGCGCTGACAACCAAGTTGCCATCACCACGAATAGCGTGAGTGCGAGCGACAACGCATTCTTACACTACCGCACCTCGTATCTAGCTTCTTGGGGCTCAGTATATGAGAAACCCATCAATATGTGATATTTTGAAATCACATGGAAATTGAGAAAACCAACCGAATCGGGCCTGCTTTGTCGTGCCAGGAACAGACTACAATCAACCGGAACCTGATCCAGGTTGGATAGATACGCCAGACATATCGCTTCTGAATTAACAGTCCTAAATACTGAAGACGTACAACAGGAGCGGCGTCAGTCCCCCACTATTCCTCGGAAAGCATCACCTCAGGACGTTTTCCATAGTGTAATATGGAAATGCATGCCTGCCAACCACAATGTCTAGCGTCACCAACGTCCGGTCAAAGCCAGAACGATCGGTTTAACGGGGAAGAGTTTTCGTTAAAAAGATTTCATATTGAAAATTGCTTACAATGGATGCTTTATTAGGGCGTGAATTAAGAGAAGGTCATTTGGAGAATGTTTGGTTTCATGTTCCACTTGGTTACATTGTCGTTGATCCCGAGAAACTAATCGTGTTAGAAGAGTGCTTTCCGATAAAGTTACAGAACTAGCGGTCAGACCCAATCTACTCCGTTCATTTCTCGCCAATCAACCGGACGCCCTTCGAGATCTGATGCGAGGACCCGAGGGAATCCGAATTCGAGAGCCGGTCATTACTTGCACCTCGGCCAAGGAAGTGTGGAAAAGCGGAACGGTGGGAATAGTGGCTGATCTGCCGGTAGATAAGAATAGGACAAGCTCTTGCTCTCTAGACGTGCGGAAACGGACCGCGACGGTTGTTGTTCTGATCTTATTATGTGCAGTCCAGTCCTTTCACTTGAGGATAGTTGCTTAATACTCTATTTATCCATTGATAAACTAGATTTTAGAGTTCTACCAGATAAGCTCTCGTGTGCATTGCATCATCCGAAATGCCCGACGTCACCGCAGCCAAGGCGGAGAGAGGGAGTTAGCTCCCGAAGCTGGAAAGCACAGGTAACACACAACTCGCATCCCCGCTTCCCAGCCACCCTCGACTTCGTCTTTTCCTGACTCGACCGATAATCTTTGGGATTCACTTCTCGCTGTTCTTTTGCTGTCCGGAAATCACAGCTACCCCCTTGACCCTTTACCTCCTCTCCTCTCCTCTCCCGACCTCCTCCCTACTTGCCCGTTTCTCGGCCAAAAATTCCAGTCTCGATGGCTCCTCCTCCTCCCGCGACCTTGCCTCTGGCTGAAAGGCTGAAGGCTCTGGCTCAGACCCTCCAGTATGTGGTCATTCGGCCTCTGTGCCATTATATGCAAGGCTCGAGATTTCAGTGCTAACCGAAATACTGCTACAGGTTTGCCTGGTTTGTTGGGTATGTCCATCCGACGGGAATCGCCGACGACCACGCTTCGCAGACCTCGAGATAGCATTACTGACCTACAATCCAGCCACCTCACTCTGCTCCTCTCCGTCTTCCGCTACACCTTGTCCTTTATCTTCTTCAACTACTACTCTTCCGCGGCTCGATTCTCTTACCGCCTGGCCTTTATCTCTGCCGCCGTGACCTATGGAATTGTCGTCTACAAGGGCCACTTTGCCCGGGGTGTCTCCGGCACTGTGCCTCAGATTGTGACCAAGCTCATCTCCGATGAGAACGTGCAGTACTTGGGTGAGTATTCTATGAATATGGCGATAAGGCAATGTGGCAGTCTGCGCACGTGCAAGGGACTCTCAAGCTCATATACTTGTCATCTATAGGAATGGCTCTTGTCTGGCTGTACTCCCGCCAGCTCATTCTCGCTCTCCTCCCCTTCAGCGTCTACTCGGTCTTCCACGTTGCGACTTACACTCGCACGTACCTGATCCCGACTCTGCAGCCCCCAGCTCCCGGTGCCGCGAGCCCCGCCTCGCCCACCGCCGGCTCCAAGCCCGCCGCCAAGCAGAACCCCCTCGCCGAGACCATTGGCCGCTTCATCAAGCAGTACTATGATGCCAGCATGGGTGTCGTTGCCACCCTTGAGATCCTGCTCCTCTTCCGCCTCATCCTATCTGCGATCACCTTCTCCAAGGGTAGCTGGGTTCTGCTGATCGTCTACCTGTCCTTCTTCCGTGCCCGCTACGCCCAGAGCTCTTTCGTCCAGCAGGCTGTTCGCCAGCTGACCGCTCGCGCCGACGCCTCAATCTCCCACCAGAGCACTCCCCCTCAGGTTCGCCAGGGTTGGGAGGCCTTCAAGGGTGTCGTGCGCCAGGTCTACGATGCGACCGACATTGGCCGCTACATTGCTGGCCCTGCCGCTGCCAACAAGAAGCCCCAGTAAATGCTACAATCACAGCTCGGATGGACTTTTCCAGAAGTTGGGCTTTTATCGGGGCTCTACGCGGCTCCCAAGAGCCCTGGTCTTTGGATTGGTTCACAGGGCAAAAGACAAATGTCGATGATTATTATCAGATGAAACCGTACGGTGGCAGTCTTATACTATCACCGAGGGATGTCCAAATTTGTGGAGTGAGAACGGGGTTCCTGTATGTGTGATGGCTGGACCCGTGGAAGGGGAGGTATATGTAGAAAAAGAGGCGGAAGGGGAGAAAAGAGCTTCGCCATCATGATGCTATACGCAACGCCACGCCTATGTCTTGATCTTTTTGTTCGTTTCCTTCATTCTCTTCTTTCTTCCAGTTGCTGTGCTTTCTGTTTCTGTCTCTAGAAATTCGCGATGCATGGTTTCTGTATCATTCTTCCTGCCGATATACCTGGACTCGGAGACTTGTTTTTAAGGGAATATGACTTGTTGAGGATGACCGTGACATGATCTATTGTATACAGGCTAAGGCGAGCCGGCCATGGAGCTCAAAAAGGCTATTGAGAATGTGCGCCACATCGTAGAGTGAGAGGAGTAGCAGTAGCAGGTACAATGAAAGACTCACGGAGTGGACAATTGATTCTCCAGTCGTCACAAAGAGTGGAAGATCTCTAATTATGCACTATAAATTCACAGTTGCTATTGTCTCATCTACTTGTCGAGTTTATTCGCGTCGGCCGAGTCGGCCGAGGGAATGACGCCCCTAGCTACCGCATTTTTAAAGACCTCACTTCTTCTCTGATCAATCTGAACATCTTGAACTTACTCCCATTTTTTGGTGTTTATCTACTTTCAAGCCTATCACAAATATCCATCTCGCGATGAAAGTCCTTCTGACAGGCGCAACTGGGACGATCGGCGGCGGCGCGCTGCGAGCATGCCTCATACATCCACAAATAACAACAGTCGTCGCATTCGTGCGCCGCCCCCTTCCACAAGATCTATCCTCAAATCCAAAACTCGAAACAGTCATCGTCGAAGATTTCTCGACATGGACAGATGAGCTACTAGATCAGCACATGAACGCCGCGGCGATGATTTGGTATGTCATCATTTTTGCGTGTATTTGTCGATGAAGGCGTGCATTGTATTGACTGCTCTGTCACAGGGCCCTTGGCTCTTTGAGTCCTACGCACAAGGTAGATGTGGAGTATCCGCTTGCTTTCCAGGAAGCTTTTATCAAGCGACGCAGTCTGCAAGAGATACCGGCGGAGTTCCGGTATGTTCATGTTAGCGGGAAATTGGTGGAACAGGATCCGGACAGGAAGTTGTATTTTCTGGATGCGCAGCGGAAGACGAAGGTATGTGTTTCGCCTTTTTCTCATATTCCTGTAAAATTTCATTCATTCTTTTTGCTTTTGTGATGCGGTTGTTCGAGAGCTGAGAATGGCACTAGGGACTGCACGACACCAAGGCAATCGCGTTAGCCGATCAGACCGATTCATGGTGGAAGTTGACTATTGTCCGCCCTGGAGGTGTTTTGTCCGATGGGTTCGCGATGGGTGCGCTGGCTGCTGTGATAGGCAAGAATTGGGCTATTAATGTGGGTACACTAGGTGCTTATTTGGCTTATGTTGCTGTCGGAGGGGATGTCGAGGAGACTATCGTTTTGAATGGGACGATTGTGGAGAAGGGAAGGAAGTTACTCAAGGATCTTTCCTAGTTTAGGTTACGTTGGATTGAGGCTTTTTTTTTCGTTGGTATTTTCTGGAGAGCAGGGGATACTTAGAGTTCGATCAGTTTGATTTATGATTATGACGAGTTAGACCTTTCTCGAGAAGACGGTCTATAGACCAGAGTAAGATGGAAACTATCACGGTATTTAATTCTGCATCTCCAGGTCAAGTACTTTACTTCAACATCAAGTCATATGGTGTCATCGATGTCGAGAATATGCGTGGCTGGCTGGTTTCCAAGAGCGTTCTTCACCGAGTCAAGTAAAAGCATGTGCAAGCCTACTTGCCTGCGAGTTGTCGGATGAGGGCCTGTAGACTCCACAGCCTTTCTCTTTTCACCCGGATGCGTTGAGATGGAATCTCCCATCTCGAGTTTTCTCAGTAGACTCGTGAGTAGCTGGGCGCTCTTCAAAGCCAAATGTTCTCGGTTGGAGCTCCGGCCAAAAGCCGCCAGAGAGTCAACGATTTGCTCCAATAGGACGACGTCCGAATTGAGGGCTCTAGAAGGATCTGATACTTGAGAGTTGCTATCCCTGCTCAGGCCGAGGATTAGCGCCAGTGATGCAATAAAGGCGGCAATTTCGGCCGCTCTGCAATGAAGTCGAGTCGTTCCAGCCAGACGAAGACCCAAGTATCTGTATAGAGTCGTCTTTGATGCTTCGAGACAGAGATCGCGATACCCTTGAGCTTCGGTTGCCGGTACAAATATAAAAGCAACGTTGGCAAGGATACGAAGTTGGAAAAACCACAGGTGAGACAGGAGTCGATCGTATGCCTGAGCACAATTCAAAGATTGTTCTTCATGAAGATCGGGTCTTTGCCACCATGAGGCTGGCATGGATTTCTGCAGCCCGTCAATAGCCGCATTTATTGATTTTGCCTCTTCGAGATTATGTTGAAGTCCGAACACGTTTCTTTGACTCAACTGGGATGATACCATGCACAGCCGACGTTGGAAGTTGGCATTTCCGTCTGCGCATGGATCATCCCAGGAGTATTCTGGGCCAAATGGCTGCGTAGCTCCAGTCTCAAAGCCGAGGATCAAACTGCAGAAACCATCTCCCATGTTAGATGAAAGCCATAATCGACGTTGAAATGCCAGATCTTGAGACTGGCGTACGGAAGGCTCATAGCTCTTATGAAATCCCTGAAGTCGAGCGACATCAAGGGCTCTCCTGAACTTCATCCAGGCCTGCTTGAGATCGCCTTCATTGATATGGATCATTCCTAAGAGCAGCAGGCATTCCAAGCCCTCGGGGGAACAGGACATCTCTTCATGAGCTAGGACCAAGGTGCCCACAACTTGGGTATACCGCCGGACGTGATCATCAACATCGTCCATCTGCAGCTGACCCGTCTTGAAATCAGGGGGTAATTGCTGAATACTCAAAGCAAAAAACAAAATCGCTTTTGCTATTCCCATGGTACTGAATTGAGCAGCAGCATTGACATCGCGAACCGGCGAACTGTCTCCGAGTTTCCAAACTGCTCCGGGTGGGTTTGGAAGCTCCATTGCCCACGCTCCAGAATGATTTGTTATACTGATGGCATCCTCTTGTGATGGGAGAAGTTCAAGAAGGATCTGCTTGGCTGTCTCGTCGTTGTATCTAAGCAGTGGCAGCTGCACCTGATGGGCCTTGGTACATTGTTCCTGAGGCGTCGATAATCCCAGAGGCGTTGGTATGCCAAAATGATCTGAAAACAAGTCTTGGTTCAAAAATTCATCCCAATTCGATGGCTGCTGTAAATCATTTTCATTTTTGGGACGTAATTTGAATGACTCTTGATTATCAATCAAAGTGCGCAGCATTTGCTCTATGCGCTCGAGTCGTCCATCGTAGTCGAACAAGGTCGTCGATGATGCGTTTTCACCAGTCTCTGGCGCTTGTAGAGTGCACTGGGCGCCAGTGCGAAGGCACTCGGAACAAGTTGCCACGTCCTCGGAGGCCAATTGACATTTTACTTTGCGCCTCTTGCCTAGTGTGAATTAGCCAGTCTAGATTGGTTAAAGACGGGCAGCAGCTCCGCACATTCATAGCACCTTTTGGTGTTGCGTCGCAGGCGCTTTGAAGGAGGGTAATTCTCCATGGCGTTCGGGCGTTGCGCCTGGATAGTTGTACAGCTGAAGCTCCCTGATAGCTTGTCAGATCAACTAAGTGGGGTTGATTACTGGACGTCCGGGCCTTCTTATTGGACGGAGGTCGGCCACTTAGAAGAGCTCAATACGAGATGGTCTTCTGCAGTTTGTGAAGCAATCAACTACAAGTAACTAAACTACAACGAGCGGGGTTTACGCAGACTACCCTGATCGCAATCACTCCTAGTTCGAACCCCTCAAATATCCTTGTCCATTGTATGCAAGCGAGTTTCAAATAGAGCGACGCCCAAACAAAGAAGTACCACATCGTTGAAGCGCAAAATTATGGCCGGATCTAAGAAGTCTATAAATCTGTTCTCGAATCTCTCAATAATATCAAGGCAGATAGATGGCTTTGACACGGATGACGATCGCAATAAAGTACTTTCTGCTGCTTACGCCCTTGTCAGTCGACTTGAGGCACCAAAGGATACTTTTTAGCAAGTAAACCTCGGAGTTTGTGTTATTCAATCTGACTCCCTAATCTCAAGTTCATACATCGTTACTAGTCAAGGATTTTCAAAATGAACAACTCGTCCAACATAGCAAACGACGGCTTGACTGATCAAAGCTTGAGGCTCGGCAAAAGCAATTGAATGCAGCTCAGCTATCTTGCTTTACCTTAGTCTTCTCCTCCACGACCAGTCCCTTTTGGGATTCACTGAAACCTCGCCGTCCATAAATGTCAGATCTCTTATGAGATGATAACTCTCACTCCCTTACTAGTAGACATGGGCGCAGGCGCGAATAAGTCATGATCATATTTCACATCATCCACGTCTGTCTCGTACAACTTTGTTCGTGGAAAAAGGCGCAGAGTCAGAGTTGCCAGCCCCACGTACATATTGCAATACGCTAGACTGTTCCAGAAAAGAACATTAGCAACAGCAGGTGAACTTCTGGTACTGATTTACTTACTTTTTCCCAAGACATTGTCTACTGCCCTTCGAGAACGATGTCAAACTATTCTCCATCCGATGTCTCTCATCCTCTTCAAGATCGAGCCATCTCTCGGGTTTGAAAGCATGCGAGTCCGGGAACACATCTTCGTTGTGGTGATTGATCGCGTTTGACATGCCCATAGGCGTACCCGGTGGGATGACATACTCAATCTCTCGTCCCTGGAACTCGCCTCGGTAGAGGAGGTTCTCGTTCGGCGCGATTCGGGGAGCTCGTGACGAGACGCCGTATGAAAGACGGAGACCCTCGTTCAATACTGCACTGAGGTAGGGCAGTTTTTCGAGCGCGAACCAGGATAGATTAAGAGCGTCCGCGTCTTGGAGTTCTTTGGTCAGGCGGGCCAAGGTTTCAGGTTGATTCAACAGGTACACTGTCAAAACGGAGAGTGTCCACTACACGAGTGATCAGTTAGAGGTTCAAATCAAAAGAGCTTTCTCCGTTGTGGGAAAGACTTACTGCAGTAGTCTCAGTCCCAGCCCCGATCATGGAAAATCCTTCCCCGCCCAATCGAAGATCCGTCTTCTCTTGTTCCGGCAACGAGGAGTCAAGAAGAGCAGTGAAGATACTCGGAGAGTCTTCTTTCACACCAGCCTCATGCGCCTTCCGAGCCTCTCGTACACGAGCTGGCATTTTCTCATTAGTTTCTTTGAGCATGACGCCCATGTCTTCATTGACCCAGTCTGCGAATAGCGGTGCTATGTCAACGAAGATCTTCGAGAATGGCAGGAACCGGAAAATGTAGACTGCCTTGAGAGCGCCATACAGGGGCTTCCTGAAATTCGGCTGCCAATTTTCCTGTTCGTGAAAATGGTCAGAGATGATGTTTTCCAATTTTGTTGATGTATTGTTTTTAGAGAAAGCGAATCTCGAATCTCACCTGTTGCAGAAACCCAAACGACTCCCCAAAACAATAACTAGATATCACATCGGAAGTAAAACAACTATAAGCCTCCGTAACATCAAATGGCTTCCCCGTGTTGGTTTCTACCATTATCAGCACAGAAAGTGGATAACTCCTTCTCTTAGAGTAATTCCAAACATACCAAGCCGGATAATCTTATCGCATAGCTCATTAGCAAGACCCTTAATCTTAGACTCAAGCTTCGCAATCTGCGCCTTTGAAAAGAATTTATTCACCGCACTTCGTCGAATGCGATGAAGATCATGTCCCAACGTCGCAAACATCGACAACAGGACAGGTCCAGCCATAGACTCGACAAAGTGTACTTGCTTGTCGCGCTTGCGGCCTTTTCCGGCGTAAATCTCGTCAACGAATGATATGTCGTTGAAATGAAGTTCCTCTGGGTTAATGCGTACAACAGGGCCTGTGGGGTCATCTCTTGTTTTTAGTTATGAATTTCGGGGGAATGGTACATTGTGCTGTATGCAGCGAGAAGAGAGGGAACCCTATCGTACCGTATACATCGTGCATCCGTTTAATCTCATTCGTATACATTCCTCCCAGGATGAGATCAAACCAGCCCTCGTATAGCCATGTTGCAGCCGCCAGTCTCGGGCCGGGGATATGGCTGAGTGGGTGGAAAGAGGAGATATTATACAATGCTCGGATAGTACAATATGCGAAATAGACACCGATAAGACGGAGTACCGTAGATAATATCAGAAGCCCTTCAATAGCCATGATGAAGGGATCGGTGAAACCAAGTCCTCAGATGGCAGTACTAGAAGCGGGTAAATGGTGTGCAAAAGTGAGGGGTTTGATCTGCACTTTTAAGTACCATCATGAGCCCGTGACAGCTGTCCATGCACCTTGTGGCGCTAGTTAACAAGCGAAGAATCCAGCATTAGTGAAACCACTAATCATTTTAGTGTCCGTTCGTACAGTCTGACGAATGTGCATAAACGAGTTTTGATAAGGCTGTGCCTCGGAGGGCTTTCGAAGCCGACCAAAAGAACCAAGTGGGGATATGCAGTCTTTTCCCCTGCGATCTGCAGGATTCTCAAATATGACAGGGGCTCCACAGACGCTGTCATAAGCGTAAAATCCTCCGCTCAGAAGCATTTCCGATCCTATCGTTTTCCATATATTTGTATTCTGTCAAGTTTACCTGGGATGGTGAAAGCTAGTACCCGCCGCCGCCAAACTTTAATATAGTAAACTTTAACCCTGGAGCCCGGCCAACCTAACAATGACCAGGCTTATATGGATCTTGAAGTGAAAAGGTAGACATTGAATAAGACGAGGTAGATCATAGTATTAGCCACATCCCCAGGACGTATTCACTAAGTTACATACAAGTGTCACATGTACACATGTATCGCGGCACATGCAAAATGGGTACAAGTCTTGGAGACAGATCGAGTCAATGGCAGGAAGAAATCCGCCACACACAAAGTAGTACTCGCGAGGAGACAAGAGCCAGCGCGGAAACAAACACGAACACTCGCTAGCAAAATAGAAACGAATTCAGACATTAAGTGAGAGAAAGGTTGCAGGGGGTATAAGCAAACGTTTCCAGAAGAAGGAAAAAATGGTGACCACAAACGGAACGCCTTTCTTGGGGAGAAGAGGGCGGAGAGAAGAGAATTTTGTGCAAGCGGAAGAAGAGGGGGAGGGAGAGGGTGCATTCATTAGATAACTGGGGCGCCGGGGTTGGGCTGACGTAGAGAGTTGAAGAGGTACTCTGGCGGCACGCGCTGCATGTCGGTTGGTCGGTCTGTGCCGAAAGTCTGGGGTGCGGCGCTGTAGCCCTGGCGACGGCGCTGGATCTTGTTTGCGATGACGCCGGCAGCGACGATGAGGAAGACGCAGCCCAGAGCGCAGCAAAATGCAACCAATACGACGATGCCATTAGAGTGGTGGGATGCTAAGATGAGGTCAGCGATGATCAGAGGATAGGAGAAAATGTTGAGATGACTCACATTGGTTTGTGTATGGGTTCTGATTCTCCATAAACAGTTGCGACATACTGCCAGGCTCGCCATTATACTTGGACGAAAGGATGAACGGTGTGACGGCAGTTCCGTTGTAGAGAGCCGCCGAAGCATTGCCGAAATCAGGGATGATAAGCTCACCCATGATCAACAGCGTCTGGTCATTCTTCAACAAAGAAACGGACGAATGATCCTGGGTGAGGGGAAGGATCTCCAAGCCACGAATAGTAGTACCCTTGGAGAACAAAGAACCCGCAGAGCGGAACGTTGATCCGTCATAGTTCCAAAGGAAAGCCGATCCGTTGGTAGAGGTGCCTCCGAGCCAGAAGTTGGAGACATCCTCACTGGCAGGAGCGAAAGCAGTCACGGTTCCAGGAATATCAGAGGTAGAAGCGCCGGAGAAGGCGGTCCAAGCTGATGTCTTCTTGCTGAATGTGGCGACAACGGTCTTGTTGTCACCAATCTCAATATCACCCACAGCATACAGAGTGTTCGAGCTAGCCCAAGAAAGAGACATCACGGTGCCACTGAGAGAAGCACCAGGCCAGCTCCATGTGTTGAGCGAGGTATCTAGAGCACAGACCGTCGTGCAAGGGAGCGAGCCAGCAGATTCAAAGCTACCGCCAACGTAGAGCTCAGACGAACCGGGTCTCAGGGCGATAGAGTTGACACTGGAATTCTTGCCAGTTAGGGACCAAGGCTGGCTCTTCTTGAACGAGTTGCTCGACAAGTCATAAGCCACCATGCCACTAACACTGGAGCTCGCGATAGTTCCGGTGATGTTGCCACCAATGAACAAAGTGTTGTTGTAGACAGCCATTGAGTATACGGTAGAGTTGCTGTCCAAGCCCTGAGGCAATCCGAAAATCTTCTCCTCGGTGCCGTTTAGGAAGGCAACGTTGTGGATAGCGGATCCGTTGCTGCTCAGTGCAGTGAACTGGCCTCCGACTATAGTCAAGTTCCGGCTGGATTCGGTATCATAGACACCCGTGATGATCCCAGCGCTGGAGGCGGTGTGGTTGGTGTTCATCGACAAGGGGACCAAGGTCAGGTCCTTCGAGTTCTGCAACGAGACGGCGCCAGGCGCAGTGATTCCATCCGTAGCGAGGCTGCCTGCAAGGAGGGTGGTATCGTTGAAAGTGGTCACTGCTGACAGTTGCCCAGCAAACTCCATTTGGGTATCATTAAGGCTTTGCAGCCAGGTCTTCTTCGAAGGCACCCAGATGGCAAAACCGGCGACATAGATGGCCGCATGGTCACTGGTGGCGCGGATCTGGTCGAAGTAACCGCTCACGGCAATGGTGGTCTCGTTGATGGCCGTCGACACGTTCAGCTTGATAGGGTAGATGGATTCGACGGGGCCATTGAGGCCCTCGCCTAGGGCCGACCACTTCTTGGAAGAGAAGGAGTAGGAAGCCACATGGTAAAGACCGTCGGCGCCTCCGTCAGAGGTATCGGTGAACTGACCTCCAACGTACAGGAAATCATTGAGAGTAGTCATGGCCATGACCTCAGAGTTCAGACCGCCGCTAGGCATTGCGGTGGCATTACCATCGGTGATAGACATAACATTATGGATCTTCTTGGTAGAGAAGTTGCCCGCTACGTAGAAGACACCATCATTCTCGGCCAGAGTCATGACCACGGCATCCTTGTCAAGGGAGTTGCCCGCCACGTTGATGTCGGAACTATCGAGGCTGGAGGTTGTCTTGGAGGAAGGATCAAAGTCGTACAGACCATTCAGATCACCGCTAGTTGTGTTGGAGAGTAGCTCGAAACGGACCTTGGACGCAACAAGGGTGATGTCTCCCTGGCCAGAAATAGGCCGAAGGGTAACGCTGGGACGGAAAGAATCACTGCTGGCATCGACATAGCCAGAGAACAAGGTATCGTACTTGTCATAGTTGTTGGTCTGGTAGATGGTTGTTGGGGACGGCTGTGAGGCATCGGTGCCAGTCGCCACGGTGGCTGTAACATTGGCCATACCACGGGAGCTGCAGCTGCTGTCTTGCGCACATCCAGGGGTGTAAACAAGGATGGTGTAGTTCCCAGACTCCTTGATATCGGGATAGAAAACAACCGAGGTGCTGGTGTCGTTGGAGTCGGTCACCGAGGCAGACAGGTACCCGGCATCCTCGACAGTCCAAGAGCCAGTGCGAGTAGATTTGGAAGGGTAATCAAGGCCCGCGCAGCTGGGTTCGTTGTACGCATCAACGGCGTAGGACAGAATTTGGTCCTGGAAAACTTCAATTCCGTTCAATCCGGCACCTTGGCCGTACCAATCCAAAACTTCGATCTGAAATCCCTTCATACCAACAGGGTTGACCAAGGTAAAATCACGGTACTTTTCGCTATTGCTGTCGGAAAGCGGGCAGGATGAGTCGCAGTGAACGACATTTCCCGAGTCGTCCGTGTACGTCATGTTCATAATACCATTGTCGGGAAGGGCACGGAACAAGAAGTTCTTGGTGCCACGTCCATCCAAGTGGGTGTTGTAGAGGCGAACCTTGGTCGGGTTGAAGGTAAATCCAAAGGATGCCCGCCAGTATCCAGGGGCATAATCGTGAAGCAACCAGGTCTTCCCCGCGCCCGCTACGCCACTAGTCGAACAGATCACATTGCGGGGATCGATGTAGCCGGTCAACGAAGATTCGGCGTCGGAGGTGATGGTCGCGTTCTGTAGGTTGAGAATCTGCTTGTTGTTAGACGAGCTGGTGGTGTTGCCAAGGCCATCAAAGGATCCTCCGAAGATAATATGGCCGTTATCGCCCTTGATGATCGAGTTGACGGGGCCGTTCAGACCATCAAAGTCGAGTTCGGTCCAGCCATCGCTGGGGGACCATGCGATAGCATTGGACGTGTTCTTGTGTGTGAAGTCTCCGCCAACGTAAACGCGGTTGGTATCCTGGTCGCAGAGCACGGTTGAGACCGAGCCCGTCAGGCCTGGCAACGCCGTGACATCGCTGGAATTGGGTTTGAATAAAGCCGCGCCGGGCGATTGGACTCCTCCGAGTGTGGTAAAGTTACCACCGATGAATATCCCCACAAAAGTACCATCCTTTTTCGTGAAGGCACACATGTCTCGGATCTGTGCGTTGGCGGAGGACAGGTTCGTGAGAATGCCGTTGGGAAGCGGGGTCAGGATGGACGATCCCTGGCGCTGGGTAATTTCGGACTGGCCCTCATATTCGTAAAGCGAGACACCGTCAAAGTCGCCCGTGATGGTTACCCGGCCCAACGAGGAGAGGTCGATTTCGGGGATCGAGACCGCATTGAAGGTCAAGGCGTGTGCGGTCGGTAGAAGCGCAAGTAAAGTCGAGATGCCAGCCGCCGCGGGCCCGTACAATGAAGAAACCCTCATTGTGTGGGTGGAGCGACGACAGGCAGCAGTGGGAAAGACACCCCAGTCGGGATGGGGGAGATGGAGGGGAGTCGAAGTGAAGCGAGCGTGTGGTGACGACCAAGGGAGTGTGTCGTTAAGAATTCAGGAGGCCGCAGGCCTGGTTAACGCGTAGAACGAAAGGAACGTAATAAGGAATGTGGCATGGAAAAAACGAAGAAGAATCTAAGGAATGCAAAAGAATGTCGGATGCATATCGAGACCGAAGTCTCTTACTGCAATAGAAATCAACGAATGACTAGGTGGTGGTGGATGTGGAATTGGAGGCTTCTTTGGTCAGAGGAGGAATCGAAGGGGGCACTGGAACCAGGCAAACAGAGCAAAACAGTTTCCACTCCGGGAGAGCA